AAAACATATGTCCAAACTTATCACCTATATCCGAACTGAGCTCTTGGTGATCTGAATGTGAAGACATTTGCTTGTGTAAGTCAAGAGAAGTGATTCATACAACTGAATGTGGAAGTTTGATAGACTGTTTACTGTAGAGATCTCTCACATTTTTATCTTTCTATAAAAATGCCTATTTCTACTTCATTTTCAATATGAACAATAGTTCTGCCCTAACAGTTCCCTTGTTTTTAAAATGTGCTGAACTGAAACCTAAGCCTGATCTTTACAGTATTCTGGAAATATTAAAATAAAGATCCAAGTCTGGTGACTTGAATCTATCTCCTCCTTCAGATCTTTATTTGCCATCATTTACATCAGTCTCGTGTCAGCATGATACCATGAAGCCGTTCAGGTCACACTGCTGTAACTGTAGTGACTTCAGGGCAATGTATTTCAGAACTTTGGCCAGAGAGGGGGAAGCAGCCCCCAGCTGTGAGCTCCGTATGAGAGCAGAGGTAGCTACCCCAGTTTGGATGCTCTACAGGCAGGATATTCACAGGCTTTGCCACATAGCTTTAGGAGAACTTATTTGAGTTGATCCGGTAGGAAATAATTCGCAGCGAAATTCCAGATTGTTATTGCATTGTTCGTGCTTAAGACAATTTCTGCTTCTTTCTAGTGAATTGCTTTATGTGGAATGCAGCTTTAGAGTGGTGCTATTAGAATGTCTTCAATGGTGTTTTTAGCCAAGTAAACGTGCAGTGTTCTTAAATGTGTGAAAGCCCTGCAGCATTACTTCCTGCCCCTTTCTCCTCTGTGTTGCTGAAGTATTGCCATCCGTCCTATGGTTCCATCTCTGTGTCTTGCTGTGTGCAAATCCATGTCTGAAGTATAATTCCTTTACTGTATGCTCACACTGACATTCAGAGCTTTGCATGCTTTCCTGGCCACATAATTTTAAAAGTAACAGACTTTTCTTAAAGTTTAAAGATGATCCTTAAGCTGGCACATGTTTTAACAGTTACATTAGGTTCTGTTAGGTCTGATATTTGGGATTAAAACTTTTAGAAATCTCAAAGTGTGGGGAATATAAACCACTTATCTTTGTTTCCAGAATATATCAGTTTCCATAAAGGGCCGATTTTTGCATATGTTTTAAAAGCAGATCAATTACTCAGTATGTTAAAACCAGGAAAGGACCTATAAATAGCATCCAAGACACTAATAGTCAATTGAAATCTCTTCAGTAATGAATGTAAACATTTGCAGTGAAAATGTTGATCTTTGTGCTGGTAGTTTGGTTTCTTTATTTTTCATTCCTCACAACAAGTGATACTTTTACTTTCATGATTCATGACCTCAAGAAGAAAATCATTTTATGATTCTTTGTTAGTGCTAGCTGTGTTATTTTAGAATAATCACAATAACAATTATTTCCTGGAAGAGATGATAGATGAGGATGTGTTCCCCTTACAAAGCTGCAGCTGAGAACAGAGAAGTCAGAGCACTCCCCCTGAAGATGGCATACCTATTTTAATTAATATCCTCCCTCCTTATTGGCTTTTTTTTATTTCCATGGGAAAGTAAGGAAATTCCTGTCTTACTTCCACTAAGCAAAAGGAAGTTAAGAAAAGTAATCTCTGCAATCTCTGATCTGTAAAGGTGACAGTTGAAACACATGGAGTCATTTATCAAAACAATCTCTTAAACTCCCAGAAAACCCCCAAACCCTAAATTAAATCTTCTCCTAGACACCAGTGCAGTGCTGTGGGACAGCTCTGTCATGCAAGGGAAGAGCTAGGACAAAAACTGCTCAGGGCTGCTTCTGTATCAGTCTCACAATGACTTTTGGCTCCATAGTTCTTGTCCTTTTGCAATGCGTGCCATTTGTGGCAGTCAGTGGATGACATTTCCAGACAGGCAAAGCCTCAGCAGTTACATGGGCTCAGCACATTCTCACTCGTCGAGCATCACTGTGCTGCTCACACATGGATGAACAAAGGTAAGACTCAAAAGCACCAGCTTCATTTTTATCCTAACATGTCAGTTGAAGTGTCCTGGGTGTTTCTCTCAGTGAGGTGGGTAGCAAGTTAGAGGTTTTGCAGTTGCTTTTAAATCAGAACCCTTCTATTTGTATGCTGCTGCTCGTAGCTGGAATTCAACAGTCAGTCCAGTGTTACGAAGGAAGTTGGTTCCTGAGTTTCCATCTGCATCTCACTAGCACAAACCATGCACAGGACAGGGCTGAATGAAGACATTTTGAAGAAAGCAGGACTGTTAGGAGAGTCGTGGTGTTTGCACTCTCTGGTCTTAACCTATGGACTGCAGCTTTTTTAAATACTCTGACTGCAGATAATAATGCTTTTGCTTTTAAGATTTCCCAGGGAAAGTGCTTTTATGTTTTTCTAGGATATAATGGAGTGGTTTCTAAATACAGAATTTGAGGTAAATCTCTTTGAGAAAGCAGTCCTGGGGAATAGGCCTAAACTAAATTTTATCCTGAAATCTAGGAAGAGAGATTTCTGCCTTGCTTTAGAGCCAGCCAAGTCACGTAGTGATTGCACACTTTCCTAGGCTTTGGTCTGCCATCCAGGTATGTTTAATGATGTCAAAGTTTGACATGTGTCATGCTGGTCTTAGAATTTCAGTTTGAGTAGTGTATTTAATAGAAAATCGCACAGTATGTTCCCAAAAGTGTCCTAAATCTTATATCTGTTAGTGTCAGTTCTGCAAAGATGTATTAGTTATCTGTACTGCACAGAAGAGAGGAACATTTCTTGTTAATTTAGGGAGGGAGAAAGCTTGATGACACATGCAAATGCCACATCATATATTTTAAGTTCCGTGTATGTCGCCTACACTTAACTGCATTTGTCCTTTCAAACATCTTTCTCAGTTTAGCATATTTGAATTTTATGTGACTGTGATATTAATAATTCTCTGTTAAAGAGAAAATTAATTACATCATAACATATTTTAAAATTAGTTACCCTTTGGGGAAAAAAATATATATGTGTGTGGAGCCCTGATGACCTCTGCCTTGGAATTGCTGTTTTCCCCTTCTTTACTTGACAGCTGTCACTGTGCTTAGGAAGGAGCTGGGCCAACCAGTCCACTGCAGGAGAAGTGCAAAGTGCTTTGGGGTTATGTGAGACACTAATTCTCAAGGTATGAGAAGCTGTGTTTTCACATGAATAAAGCATCCCAGTTTTATGCAGATATATTTAGCAGCACTGAGTCACTCCTAGAGAGCTACCACAGGGCCTACATGAAGGGGAAATGGGATGAGGGCAGTGCTTGGAAGTCCAAGTAAACCGTAAGTTTCTCTTCCATGAGAGTGGTACTGTGGTGCGAGGGACAGCTATCCTGTGAAGCTCCTGTTTGACAAGTTATGGATGCCCTCAAAGAACAGAAGCTGGCCCAAGTGTGAGAGTAGCAGGAGACTCTGACCCCATCCCTGCGTGACACCTTTTAAGGCAGTATATGTAGTGACTCTTGGTGTGACTCCTGTAGTGCTTTGGCATAGTTCTCTCCAGTCTTTCACAGGTAGCCGTTGTGAGGTGGAAAATTTCAGCAGTTAACATTGAGTCACTTGGGTAGGGGATTACAGTGCTGTAACATGTTGTCTGAGGAAGAGGTTCACCAGTGAACTGCTTCTTCCAGTGAAGAGCAGGAACCATACTGTATACAGTATGAGGCCTAGCCCATTTACAGGTTGGAGTGGATCAGAAAGTTCTTTTCTACTTTTGTTCTTTAACCATGGCAGAAAATATTCCTCTTCTTAGATTTCTACTGGCGCTGAAGAAACAGCTGTCTCTTCGGAGCCATGAGAAGGATAATTCCATACCAGGCACAGGTCTGCTTTGTAATGATAGATGCAGAAGCGAGCTTTTTATCTAAAGTCCAAAAGCGTCAACTATGTCTCCAGAATCTCCTGGTCCTTTAGTTCCTACTGTTGCAGAAGAGCATGTGAGGTTTCCAATGATCTAGCCCTGTTTTTGACTATAGGTTGGTAGACAGCAGCACTGGCACAAATTGTTTTGTTAGACTGCTAGCAGCCAGCCCTACTCTCGTCTTCCCTCTGGCTCCTTTACTCTTCAGTAACTTCTTAGCCTGTGTGCTCTTTGGTCTCCAGTATGTTGCCACAGAAAGCTCCTGCTAGTGCCAGGAGCTCCCTTGCATAGCTTTGTGCTTCTCGCCTGGCACTCAGCAAAGCAAAGGAGAGATCCTTGGCCCTACAGCAGTAAGGCCCTGCTTGTTGGTATTTTTTCTCTGAGGCGTTCAGTGAGTGTCTCCATCTCTGTATCTGCAGGGAGGACAAGACAGCTCTGTCTCTGGCTGGCTCTCACTGTTGCCTGCTAAAGTTTAGGCAGAAAGAAGAACCAGTCAGGGCTGGCTCACTGTGCGGTTGTTGCCAAGGGCACAGAGCAGGTTTCTCACTGCACCCCCTGGGAAGCCCGAGTTGGTATGTACCCTGAGGCGCTTTGGATGCTGGGATCAGTTTAGCAATGGGTGTCCCTTCCCCAGCGAGCAGCTGTTAATAGCTTGACAATAAACGATGGCTGTGAATGCCATGCTAGAATGTCCTAGGGATGGAAACAACCGTGGGGCAAAGGGCACCTGCTCTGGAGTCAGTAACAGTGTCTCACTTCATGTGCTGCAGCAAGGAGACACATGGATTAATTTTAAATGCATTGGCAACATATGGGTCTAAAATTATTTCATGCTATTTAGAACAAGTCCTTTGAGCTAAGGCTGTTGTAAATTCTAATTAGTCTATGCTAATCTCCATAATAAGCAGCTATTTCTAATGCAGATCTAACTGATGAGGTCTGACAGCATTTTCCACACTTATTTATACACTGGCAGCAAGCTGGTATCATGCTTGTATCAGAATGTTTGCTCAGGTTACAAAAACTCTGTATTTTCTGTACTCTACAGAGAGTTTGGATTTGCTGCAGGCTTGTGCTTCTCAGAATTGCCAACTTATGCCTGCTTGCTTGTCTGTATTTATGCAGAAAATAGGGAAAACTCCTTCAGCCGCTCCCGCAGCTCCAGCGTGTCCAGCATCGACAGGGACTCGAAGGAGGCGATCACTGCTTTGTACTTCATGGAGTCCTTTGCCAGGAAGAACGACTCCGCTGTCTCCCCCTGCCTCTGGGTTGGAACGGGCCTCGGTATGGTCTTAATCCTCTCCCTCAATCTGCCTGCCAGTGACGACCTGCGGCAGTCAGAGCCAGTCATGGTGTCGCCAAGTGGTAAGAGTGCAGCACTCTCCCTCTTTATTGCTTGCCTGGATACAACAGGGGAATAACTGCATGATTTGGTATGCCCATTTGGACTGAAAATTCTCAGTACGGGTACCAAGCACTGGTCACTCACTACACAGAGGGCATGCAGGTAAATAAAAGTGCCCATGAGAGACCTGCAGCTTCATGAACTGCATCACTTAGGTTGTGTTGTTTCTGAAGATTACCTTGTGTCATGGGCAAAGTTACATATTTCCTGTGAGGAAAGGGAAATTATCAGAGTTCCTTCATACTGTGTAATTAAAATTACTGTCCTGTGTACAGCTCTGATGCAATCCTATCTGGGATGCTGCAAACAGTTTGGCTATCTTACTATCAGAAAGCTGCAAAGAAGCAGAAGGGAGTTCAGGAGAGGAAACAAAAATGTTGGCAGGTTGATGTACCAGGAGAGATCCTTGGCTGAGTGGGTGACAGATGGTGTAGCAGAGAGAACAGAGGGCTGAGAGAGGTCAGGTCCGAGCTGCAATGGTATGCACTTAGTTCATTTAAAGCAAAATAATGACAAAAATCAAGGAAAGCACAGGAATAGAGGCTTCCTACGCCCAGGTTGTTCAGACAAGCAATGCTGGAAGGTCACCAGACTAAGGCGAGCTATTTTATCGGTGGGGAATAAATACCCTACTTGTAGAAAGTAACAATAGCCTATCTTTATGATCTTCAATAGCATGTTTTTGATGGATTATTTGAAATAGGCTGCACGAGACTTTGTCAGTACTGACAGCCTGTTTGTTCACTTTCTTTTCCATTCAGGGAGAACTGAGCAAGGAAGACTTGCCACCTTACCTAGATTAACCTGTTTGCTCTGTTTACAAAAGCTGTGTGCTGCACACGTTCACACTACTGACAACCAGGTTAATAGTGATGCCACTGAGAGGAAATTGTATTTTTCAGGCACAGTTCTAACCCTGAAGGGAGCCGTGCTGACCTTCGCGTGCTTGGACTGCATGGGGACGTTGACACATCCACCATATGAAGTATGGAGGGACCCACACAGTGCTGATGACGGTGAAAAAACAAGAAAAAGGAAACTTGTCATGCATTCCCCTTCCTCCTCCCAGGATATGGGTGATCATCAATTTGCAGTCATTTGTTCAGAAAAACAAGCCAAAGTCTTCTCATTGCCTTCCCAAACATGTCTTTATGTCCACAACATCACCGAAACGTCCTTTTTATTGCGAGCAGATGTGGTCACCCTCTGTAACAGCGTCTGTCTGGCGTGCTTTTGTGCCAATGGGCACATCATGACACTGAGGTACTTATCTAACTAATCTTGTGGCAAAATACGTGAAGAGGTGGCACGGTGCCATCACGTTCCGCTTGTGTTTGCTCCAGAGCTCCTGATGCTCTGCATTTGCTCCCGGGTGGGTGCAGCTAATGCCCTGCCGTGCCCGCTGCCATGCCTGTTCCTTGGCCTGTCTCCACATGGGGAGTTAAGGCAGCTGCACAGCAAAGCAAACTCCTTGATTTCCTAGTAATCCCCAACCCGTGACAATTGATGGCTGATGGTTTTTAACTGTCATAAATCTTGATAATATTGCTCAGTTATGGTAAGTCAGGCATAGAGGACTAGAGAGAAACTGAAGCATAGAAGGGTACTGTTTATCCAGTGTGAGGTAGCACGTCCCATTCTTGCCATTTTGGAAGATTTTCCACTCAGAGCACCTGGTTTCCCTTCCTCTCCATCTCCAGCAGTGGGCTGGCTGTGCAGTAGCCCCATAGTCATGCCTGAGCTTGCCACACCCCCATTCCCCAACCAGGCCATTTAAATTTGGAAAGCGCCATACAAAATGGTGAACCAGGAGAAGCTGGAGGACAGCAAAGGTGATGCTGGAGCCTTTGTCTGCAAGTTGTGCCCTGCCATGCCATGTCCTTCAGATGCCCACGTGGTAGTTGGGGCAGGCCTTACCTGTCAGGCTGCCCAGCCATGTGGCACAAGCTATAGTGTGCCACGTGCACATCCCAAATCCAGACAGTAGCAGAAACCTAGGGGTCATTGAGGTCAGGCAGCTGACACTTCTCCATGCAAGGAAACAAAGTGTGATGGGAAGGCAGCGTGTTTATGGCAGGATTTTCCAGCTTGGAGCTATACTTGAATATTCCATTTATGAAAAGGGTTATATTAAATGCTGGTTTAAAATGCAGCCACGGAGCAGGTGTACCATGTGTGACAGCTGGTGACTAACCCAGGTCCCTGCTTCTCCTCAGCTTGCCCAGCCTTCGCCCACTGCTGGACCTCAACTATTTGCCTGTGACAGACATGAGGATAGCGCGGACCTTCTGTTTCACTAACGAAGGGCAAGCTCTGTATCTCAGCTCTCCCACAGAGATCCAGCGCCTGACCTACAGCCAGGAGATGTGTGATAATCTGCAGGTAGGGTTCGAACCTTTACTTCGGTGCCTTTGTGCCTGTGGGGGAGAGCCAGGGGCCCGGCTCCTCAGGTGTGAGTTGCCACGTGTTTGCTGCTAGATTTCCGTGTCTGAAGGGAAGGCTGTGCTGTGGGAGCAGGGCAGGCACATCCTTCTCCGTTTGTCCTGCCTGAATGATGCCAAAGCAGCAGAGAGGTCAGAAGCTCTGTTGCTGGTTGGACTCTTCCATCTCACTGTCACCTTGCTCCTGTGCTCTAACAGCTGGCCCCAGCCTACAGCCTGCCCACTCTCAGTTTCAGTCTCTGCTGGCTCTGTGCAGAGGCAGATTTGTGCCCAAACGGGGCTCTTCACAGCCTGCTTCTCTCAAAGTCCTACCCTATGAAAGACCAACTGTTAAAAATGACTGAAGGGAAAGAAAGGGAAGCTACAAATGGAGAGCAGCTACAGCAGTCGGTACCAGCATGTGTCCAACCACACAGCCACTGGCTCACTGAAAATATTAATTCCTTCCCCTATTTTTATCATTTTTCCTTTTAACTCTAAAAATATCTTCATACATGCAGCTTTCAGTGGATAGATGAGAGCATGAGACAATTATTGTTAGTATCAAAAAATTTGTTTTGATGTATTTTTTTATTTACCATTTTTTACGCCAATAATTGGTACTCCCCTTCTTCCACATGAGAAAATTGCTTCCCATTGTACACCAAAATACAGTACTATATATTGTCTAGTTAAAATAATTTATTTTGAGCAAAAGGTCTTTACAATGCTAGATTTGGGTTGTTGTTCTTTTTACAATGAAAAAGCAAATTAAAATGTCATGAATTGAGAAGGGGTTACAGGCAGAAATATGAGTAATGAAAGAGGAAAAAGGGAGGAAGAATAAGTTCTAGATTATATAATTAGCACTGAACTAGGATAGAAATATAGAAGAAATGGTCCTGCCAGCAATGATTATGCCCTAGGGAATAACTTGTGCTGAGCAGCTCAACTCAGATCACAGCACTGTCTGTCTCAAGTCTGAAGAAGCAACTGTGAGGAGTGAGCATTGCACACAAGCCTTTGTGCATCAGAGAAGAAATTACTTTGCAGGGAACTGATTTTAAAATGATCAAAAGGTTTGATCAATGTACCTTAGAGTATGGACCTACAGTGAGAGGCTGTTACAAGCTAGATTTTTAGGGTTTATGAACAGTAATAGCATCATATGACAAGCAACCGGAGGGCAACACAGCCCTTGCTTCTCTGTGCTGCCAGACTGTGGCTGCTTAAAGCATGGCTTTTATGCAGAGAGGACAGATAAAAGCTGGCACAGGCCTCTTATGTGTACACAAAGCAGATGACCCAGTATCACCTGCTTCCTAGGAAAACAAAGCCAGGCTGCTGGAGAGCCTCCACACTGTCTGGAAGGGCTGCAGTAAACAAACTCCCCAGAGCAGAGCAGAGAGAGCAGAGAGCAGAGCAGGGAGCAGGGTGGAGGAGCAGTGTGTGAGTCCCAGCACTGCCCTGGCACTGGGGCTCCCAGGAGCTGCGTGCAGCACGGCTGGATGGCTCTGCCTGCGGAGCCCTGGGTGAGCAAACACGGAGCTCAGCAGCAGGGCCCCAGCTGCTCCCAGTGCACCCAGCCCCGCTGGCTTCAAACGCTACTGGGACTGCACCAGCTTGATCAGTTTTACACTCTTCCTAGTACTGCTGCAGATAAATCTGAGCCTGGGGTTTCCTTGGGTGGACTGCTCTGAGGTCTGGCTGGCACCATGACCTTGCCCTCAGCAGAGGTGCGGGTGTAGCGTCACTGGTGGCACTGCCAACGCGCACGGTAACGGGGGCACGCAGGGGCGCTGGCAAACCAAGTCCCTTCCAAAGCATGAGTGAACCTAGTTAGCCCAAGTATTCTCCCATTATGAAACACAAATGTTAAGCACTCAATACTGTTCATCACAGCAAACATCAGAACTGGTTGATAAAACACCTAGAACTGCTCTCACCTCACTAATTTTTCACATAGACTTTTGTCTGACTTCACTAGGACATGCTTGGGGATTTGTTTACTCCTGTGGAAACGCCAGAAGCCCAAAACAGAGGCTTTCTCAAAGGACTCTTTGGAGGAAGTGGACAAGCTTTTGACAGAGAGGAGCTTTGTAAGTAATTTATTGCGTTGGGGTTTTTTTTCAGAAATTAATTCATGGGATCAGCTGCCCTTGTTATCTAGGAAAGGAGAGGTACACAAGCTTTAGCTCTTCCTTGAAAAAACAAAGACTGAAGAAAGGGGAAGGCCCTCCACTGCCTTCCCCAGGTTCCTTCACCTTGGCAGCTTCTTTTGAGAAAATGAGTCTGGGGAGGGTGGGGTCACAGCTGCACTGTCTCTGTGCTGGTGCAGAAGAGCGTTCCCCACGTGCCATCTGCCCATCCCACGGCATCACAAGAGGGGCTGGCAGAGCCACGGCCAGGAACTCATTCCTGCCTCTTGTCCATTTCTCCTCTGCAGTTGGTGAGGCCACGGCGGGAAAGGCCTCTCGCAGCCTCGCTCAGCACATCCCTGGATCCGGCGGGATCGAAGGAGTGAGAGGGGCCGCGGGAGGCGTGATCGGGGACCTGACCCGCGCGCGCATCGCCCTGGACGAGAGAGGGCAGAAGCTGGGAGAGCTGGATGAAAGGACTGCGAGCATGATGGCCAGCGCAGAGGCGTTTTCCAAACATGCACACGAGGTAGGGGCCCTGGCTCCACACACCCAGAACTAGGAGGTGCCAACCCTGCCACCGAGCCTTGGCTTCCCTCGGGGAAAGCCGAGTGTGGCTCTCCCCCTTCCCCCAGCCGTGGTGGGTTAGGTGTGCTCCTGTTAAGAGACACACAGTTTTTCCTGCTCCCAAACAATAGGAATGCCAAGAATAAGCTTCCATTGCACGCACTTTCCTTTCACGTTCTCACAGCCGAGCAGCAGCCATAGTCAGCCTGTGAATTTAGAACATGGCACTTCTCATCTCTCACCTCGCTCACCAATTCATTGTGATTTTTTTTTTTAAGCCATTTATTCTGCCCTGCTGCATAGATGTGCTGCACAACAGGTAGGTGGGTGTGTACATAGAACAGTTACAGTTCTTACTGGGAAGAGAAAGTTTGTAGTACAGCACTGTGGTACTGTTGTTATACAGATTAGGGTTTGCTCAGAATAGGCAGTGCTGGAAACAGAAACCTTTTCCAAACAACACTGTAAAGGCTGGGACTCAACTAAAGTGATTTCCCTCAAAGATAAAACAGCATTAAAGAATACTTCCCAAAATGTATGGTTTTCATTTAACATGCAGCACATCTCTGAACAAGACCTTTACATTTTTATTGACTTTTGTAAGTGTGAAGCACAAATATGCAGAAAGAATGTGCCCTGAAATGCAAAAAAAGGTTTATGTAACCAGTACATATCTGCTATGCTTCATAGAGAAGCTTCTTTCTACAGGAGTAAAAAGTAAGTTCCTGGTTATTCCCATACCCTTGTACTTTTTGCAGAAAAAACAGTAGTTAAAGCTCCTCAGGAAAAATCTTTTAATGAAGAGCAATAGCAGGTCAGGTAACTATTTTTTTTTTTTCCTAATGTAACAATTATGAAATTAAATACAAAGCCTTAGTGGACTCAAGACCTGATGACACTGTTAGTAAAGTACCGCATTGCTCTTCCTTTTTTGCTTAATGTTTATGACAGTTAACAGGTCTAGGTCATGTGGTATCTCATACAGAGCAGTGGTTTATATCTCTTTGTTTCTGATTTCTGTAGGTGATGCTGAAATACAAGGACAAAAAGTGGTACCAGTTTTAAGACTTTCAAAGAAGCTGCTTGTGGCTTTATTAAGAACACTGTTCAGGGAAGCAACACTCATTCCCAAATCTACCAGTCACAGGCCAGAGACAGTTTTTTCTCCTAGAAGATGTTTTCCTGTTACTATTCTTGGATTCATCACAGTGGGAAGCAAGGAGAAAGTTTACAGACCGTAAGACAGAAGCTAGAATCGTGTGGGTCTTACTTCAACAGCTGGCTCATGCAGTAGCCAATTTTTTTTTTCCAAAAGGAACTCAACCATCACTGTGGCATGTAGTTTTTCAGAAGCTGTAGGTATGAACTGTGGGGAGTGTGTCTGGTTAAAAATATTCTGTACAAACTCGAATGTTAATGCACTTATAAAACTTTGCATGACTAATTGACATCCTAAAAAAAAAAAAGAAAAAGAAAGCATGTTGTGACCGAAGAAAAATGGGATTTATTTATATTCTGAGAAAAAAAAAAATTAAATGGCAAAAATCTTTATTTTTTAAAAGTAACATTACAAAAAGCCAGTACATTTTGAGCATGTTTGCTACCGTTCTCAACATAAAAATGAGTTAAGCTGCATTTTCTTATCTGCTGTTTATTTCCCTTCAAAAACCTTGCCTGAACTAAGTGCTGTTTAACTCCTACCAGAAGAATAAATAACTTCAAAATTCTATGCCCCAATCTACAGATTTTTCAAGTAGCTAGACAGGCACTATCTGAAATGTCACTAAAACATGAGCATAGGTGGTTTATTTGCAATTCAGAGCACATGACATGTCATCTTTATCTGTATTTTTACAAATGTGCTCTAGATTCATCTTGGTTGTCCTTGAAGGGGGCTGTGACATTTTTCATCCCCGTGGTGTCTGTATCACTCAGTTGCCTTATTTCTGAGTAGCAGTAGAGTAGAAATCCAGCTTAGGAAATTGCTTCCTCAAGTTAGGAAAGGTGAGATGGGAGACCAAAGGGCTACAAGCTGGAGACTTCTGGGAGGTTCTGCCCACAGGAGCTGCTTAGCAGCTTGCAGAGCAGCAATTTTTTCTTAAGTGGTCAGTTGAAATTATCCTAACTGCACAGGAACACCCCCCCCCACCAAAGCTGGGGAGAGATCCTGGCAGCAAGTCTAAACAGTGGGCCAGGGGAGGAGCATGAAAAAGAACTGGCACCATACGGCACTGAATTGGCCCATATAAAATGACACCCCAGGTGAGTGGCAATTGATTTTTCTGCTCACACTGCTAAAAGTCATTTGCTTCTGCTCCCAAGTGGCTTGTTTGGTTTCTACGGTGAGCTCTGCAGAAAAGCTACAGAAGAGAGCAGTAAATAGATAGAACCTAGTACCTGTCTACACAAATAAATTCCTAGTTCATGAGCATGCTGCAGCCATGGTAGCCTACAGGAGCCTCACTGCCACACAGGTCAACTCTTAAGTTAGCTATTTTTCCAAGATCGGCTTGAAAACAAGGCACTGAAGGCTTATTTCAACTTTCCTGGACATAATTTCAAATTAGAAAAGGAAAGTGAGGAAAAGGTGGAAAAGCAGCATTTAAAATTTTTCCTACAGGAGAAGAGCGACATTCTCTGTCCCAGAAAGGAGTCTTGATGGACAGTGATGCAGACAGGCAGCATCCCCCTCCTAACCAGACCTTAACTTCACTGGTGTTTACATCATCCCAGTGTTCAGATGATCTCTCTCAAGGATGCCTTTCCCATATCCTTACAATAAAATGGAGCCCAGGAAATGGTACAGTCCCAAAGTCTGGATTCATTATCAGCCCAGCTGCACAAGTTAAAAGGCTGGAACAGATTTGAGGTGTTAAGTTTTTAATTTTCATTGTAGCACAACAGGAACTTCATGCTTTACAGGATTTTTACATTTCTCTGTGGGCAAAATCAAAATGATGGCCCTGATGATGGGTCTAGCTCAACTGGGAATGAGAATCATCAAATTCCTCTGTCACAGGAGGAGCTGCTCTATAATTGTCAGAACTGTAGAAACTTCTGGGGAAATGAAGTCAAAGGCCAAGCAGTGCCCAGGTTTCTGCTGACAGTTAAGGATTTGGAGTTGTCCATGAGCCCAGAGGGTGTCTGCCTGCATGGGGGTGTTTGAGGAAATGGCAAACTCACCACTCTGAGGCCAATGCTGGGGAACTCCCTCCAGCAGCCAGGTCACAGAACTGGCCACTTTGCACGTGTGAGGAAGCACCACTCTAACCAGGCATCTAGAATGAGACAAAATTGAGAACATTAGAGCAATTCTAACTTGTGTTCAAATCTGTATAGTCACTTCACCTGTGCTCTGGCCTATACTCCAAAATCACTTGGTCTTCGGGCAACAAAATCATTTGGGGCAGCAGGTCATTCAAAAGCTCCAAACAGCTTTCTAGACCTTACCATTCCAGTCTTCTCTGCTTCTACAGAGATGCCAAGCAGTCTTCACTGATACCCAGCCAAGGCTGCCCCGACAGCGTTTGCTCTGTACCCGACTCTACACTTTGCTTCTGCACCAAGCTGCTGCAGATGGACAAGCTGTTACCAGTTCCAGTGAGGCACTTGTACACCCACAGGCTATGGGGCCAGTTTCCACCATGAACTGGTGTAACACAGTCAGCCCTGGTGGGTGGTAGCACATGGTGCCCAGGCAGCAGATGGTTCACTTGGACAAGGAAGCTACGGGTCCCGTGTAAGTTTTCAGCTGTACCCCATGTGGGTGGCTAATGTTGCAAAGATCCCCATTACCCTGTTGTCAGTGGACACGTCTTCAGGCTGGGGCTAGAGCCTGCTCACACGTTTGAGCATCACACATGAAAACTAAAGAGCATCTTTTAATTGCTAATCACTACAGCACACCCAGAGAGAAAAGCGTCTTCAACAAGTCATTTACAGAACGCCTGACTGACTTTGGCTGCCAACAGTCTCTAGCTTAACACCAGGGGAAAAAACCCAAACCTGCCAGTAGATTGCCATTTGCATATGTATGCAACAGAGAAATGAGAATCTAGCAACCCTCAAACTTAGAATTTTTAATACTAAACTTTTAAGCAACTTTTCTCTAGTATTCCCCATCAGGTCACAGCTGTATCTTGCTTTCCACTCTTCCATATTTTAGATATTTCCAGGCAGTTACAAATTACTATTTCTGTTAAGTTCACCACTTGTGACTATAATTATCAATTTTCTTGTAGTCTGTAGAGATCTAAAAAGTTGTATATGTTTGTATATAGGACATTCTATATATATAAATATATATATGTAATGTATATGTTGTATAAGTTTGTTAGTGCACACTGTTAAATGCTTTCTATCAAGATTTACCATGTATGTGGAAAAAAAACCCTTCACTTAAAAACTTCAGTGAGGGAAGAAAAACTCTTGCCTGGCTGATTTATTGTGAAATGAGGGGGAGTGTGGGATTTTTGAAAGGCCTTGCCTGACTGCTGCAAAGGCTGTTAAGTGAAAGGCATAAAACCGCAGCGCTCCGAGCACTCGGCCTGACTTGCTGCAGAAAACCGAGGCCACCCCTTCTTGCTAGATCTCGAAATCCTGTGCTTTCACCTTTCCCACTAAGACAGCACCACCTCGAGCAAAAGCCTACATACAGACCTATCTCCAACATAACACTCCTCAGTTACAATCGACCCCCTTGGCTGGAAACACTAGTTCAATTTGAAGTGCTTTTTGTTCATTCGGATACCCTGTTCCCTCACGGTCTTCTTTACAGGAGCTCTAGCACAAACAACCCCACCCAAAACCAGACACCAAAACGTCAACAGCACACACACCCTTCTGGGTTTGACCAGATGTGTTTACTCTTGCACCTAGAGCTGTAGCTAGACAGAGTATGCAGCGAAAATGCATTACATCAGATTATTTACATGTTTTCAGAGTTGGCAAGCCTTCAATGAAGTACAAGCTACTTGATTTAAAAAAAAAAAAAATCCATTCCAAGATTTTTAACTTAAGCTTCAAATCTTGAATTTAAAGACAAGATGAAGGAAAATTGGAGAATCAGGTTTTGTTTTGTATAATGACATCTTTCCTAATTTTCTTTTTTACAGTTCTATGTTTCAAGTATGAACATCAATTAGACATTCCCTGTATTACCAGAATAGAGCCTGTTACAAAAATATTTACCAGAAATCCTCTATTTACTACACATATTGCATAATATTATCACATGTAGAAATTCTCTAAAATTGTTTACATATTAGTTTTACAGCAGCCCTTTCACACCACAATGGGTGGGTGCATTGTAATGAAAATATGAATACAAAAATATATTTTTTGGTATACAATTTAAGAAGCAAAGAAAACACTGCAGCTTAAATAAGAGCTGTGTTCAACCTCAGGTCTCCACCACTTATAAACCATGTGCATTGCAACACAGGCAAAAAGCAAAATTTCAGTTAATTATGTCCCTTAAATATCCTGGTCCCCCCATACATTCTTTTCCATAAGCTAAAGGTGAAATCAAGCACAGTATATTTCAGTCTTGAATGTTATTTTGCCTTGGTATGGTCTGAGTAAGAACACACTCTCTCTCATTAAGGAACTACGTGTGGCCATTTGTAGTCAACTCATCATCTTAGGTGTATAAGCAATAGTCACGTAAATTAGTGTTCCCATTCATGTGTTTTGTTTTGTGATTAAAATCAACAAATCAAACATTGTACTTTTTTAAATAGCAACCAATATTCAGATTCAGTGTCAAGGAAATGTGGACAGAAGCCCTACGGCGTTTGTTAACGAGTCATTACCTGTATCTTGGAATGAAGGCTTATCTAGGGTGAACCACACACTCCTGTGCTAACCATCTCCTGTTTCCACAGGTATCCTAGATCAGCATCACAAAAGGAAAATAAGGCATTTTTAACTGAGGCTGAGTCCCAGTAACAACCAAAAAATACACACACACACACACACACAAAAAAAAAAAAAAAGAAAAAAAAGGGAAAGAAAATAAAGGAAAGAATTGATATTAATTGGTGTGTAGATTTTTTTTTTTCTAACCTCTACTCCCTGATTCTTTATAGTATTTCAAAGGTGCATGGTTTATGCAAAGCCTTTGGATGGCATTTATGCTATCCACTCACTCCAGGGTATGGAAAACACAGCCATGTTTGTTGCTGGGGTGTCCTCCAGCAGCCTCACACAGGGCCAAAACCTGGGCCCCAGCTGGTGTTCCTGTGCTGTACTGCAGGGAGCTCACACGGTGCTCAGAACCACAGTACTGGTCCCCAGGAACACTGGCCTTGTTAGCTGGGCTTCTCAGCTGACTGAGACCACGTGTCACACCACTGTGGCCTCAGCTTAAAAGCTGAAATCTCAGAAAGGCAGAAGTGAGCTCATTTAAGGGCCCTTACCAACAGGATTGAGCTGATCTGCCAGGAGGAGCTCAATGATGTCAGCCAAAGCTACTGCGCTGCCAGCTCCCTCTTTATAGCTACAGATCTGTAGGAAAGCACAGCAGGAAAAAGTTTACAGGATTCTTATGATGAAATGCAAACATCATGGGAGAAAGGCAAAAGGGCCAAACCAGATCAGATTAACGTATGTGTGTCATCTTCTGTCACCTGCCTGGCTCCCACCACTGGCCAGCTATGAGAAAGCAGACAGAGCACTCTCATTAGGCAGGGACAGGAGGAAAGCTACAGCAGAAAGACCAAGGCAAAACAAGCCTGTGGTCTGTGTGTCAGGAAAATGACCAAGTAGCTGTATCAAACATCAATGTCAGGAGCTCCTGCTCCTGAGTCCGGGGAAGTTCTGCCCCACACCAGCAGGAGGCTGCATCGAAATTCGGGTCATTTGGACAAGTGAGCAGCTCTGAACCCAAGGGAACGCGGCTGCTCGGCACCCAAGGGGATGGGCTCTGCCTTCGAGGAGCTGGGTCACACAGCGTCACCTGATGTGAAGACACAGCCTTCCTGGCCACCAGGGGACTTTGTCAGGACTGGGTCCCAACCCAGTTTCTGTTGACAGACACCAGCCTGCTGGTGCAGCAGACAGGTGAGGGCAACACAGAAGGCAGGACTAGGCAGTAGCAGCAATTGTGTGTACACGGAGTGACAAGGCTGCTGTAACAAACAACTCCCAGCCCTTCTGCAGCTTTCACCTGTCTTCTTCTCAGGCTGCTGGACCACGCGTGCTACTGCACATGCCGTGTGGCACCAACTAACACGAAGCAGGAGTGGTCTGCAAAGAGAGAGATACACAAACCAGCTGAGGAACAGGGAGAGAACACAATCAGACTCATCCCATCCTGGCTACAAGAAGGCAGAGATTAACCTGCACACTGGTTATCAAGTCCAGAACTAAAAAAAAAGCCCAGTTTCCCACTAAACACAGGCCTCACCCCATCAGAGGTGGTGAAAGAGGGGCCTACAGGCAAAAATAAGTAATGCAAGCACCCAACCTCCTACCAACTTCAGAACATAACAGGTATCCTCTTCTGCACAGCTCTAAGCAGTGCCTCGGCCTACCCGACCTAAAGCCTCTGCTGCCCCCCTGCTTAGTCACACTAATAGACAAAGTCTGACCAGAATTAAGGAATATAAATAAGAGCAATCAGGCAACAGCTCAGAGCCAGTTCTAATATGACTCAAATGCTGCAGCCGCCTCACTCACAGAGCAGTGGCCATACTTATCTTCTCATTTGCTTCAAATTGCTGCTTAATTAAAATCAGCTCAATGAGTCTGTTTAGCAAAATAAGTTCAGTTTTGTGCCAAACCCCATATTGATTAGCACCACCCCTGTCTAGAGATCTTGTTGGGAAATACAAATGAGAGCCATCCTTCTGAAATTCTGAAGACAGTACGTGGGGGGAGAAAACACTGTAATGTGCCAAAGAACAAGCAACTCAAATTACAGCAGCTCTGGTGAGGCCTGAAATACAGCACAGGTGTGTCACTGCATGACACCCTGGGACAGGAAATCATTAGGCCATGTGAATTGGTAACGAGTCCAACCCAGCATCTTCACAGGGAGAGCACACAAATGGTCAGACACCAGGGTGCCATGGCCCAGATCTGTTAATAACAAAAGCTTTAATAAGCTAAGGAAAGAAACAACTGTCTATCAAGCGAATGCTGTGGATAAAGAGCTCAGCCATCAGGTGACAGATGTGGCAGAAAACCCACAGCAGAGAGCAGGCAGGGAGGACACACAGAATCTCAGCATAAAGTGACATACAAAACAGGGAAGAAGGCCAGCTCGGTGCTGAGAAAGGCAGTCAGCACATCCTCGCCTGGGGCTCCCACTTGATACCACGTGTCCGTTTTGCTGCTCAACAGGCAGGTGGTGGATCAGTGTCCAGGATGTGGCCTTTTGTACATGGGCCCCATTAATATCTTTTGAAAATCACCACGTTCTTGAAATCTCACTTTCAGGAACTTCTGATGTCAGGATAACAGCCGTGCCAAAAGTGCCGCATTTGAAGTTGAGAAGCTCGAGCACGGTAGCAGGCTGCTGAAAGCCATGTGGGCATCCTCTCAGATCGGGCTACAGAGGCAATTCCAAAGTACACCTCTTAAAAAGGAACCAGCAGAAGTCCAGAAATGAAAGTATAATTAAGGGCTTGAAAATTTCTCACAGGAGGCAAGAACGGGAAGAGAGAGGTTGCTTACATTAGGGAGGAACTGCAGAAGAGAGGCATGATCAAATAATTAGAGGCACAAGGAAGGTGACAGGAGGCACCTCTGTCCTCCCTTTCTTGTAACATACATTGGCCACACAATGAAAATAACAGAATTGAAGGTCAGGCATTGTATGAAGTGAACAAAACCAGCTGAACTTGCGTAAGCATCACAACCAAACAAAACCATGTGATGTGAGATTTTGCCAGACCAGAAGGTATTAGTGAGAATAACACCAAGTAGTGGCAGATGAATTCCCTGTGAGCTCCCTCCTTGCACCCCTGCCCCAGCCCTTTCTTTGGAAGCATCCGATCCCAGCAGCTGACCCGAGTCAGTCTCGCGACCAGCTCAGCTTGGCAAGCCCAAACTCCCAGGAAAGCTGGGAGCCTGATCACAGGGATGGAGCCAAAGATCCTGAGGCAAAGTGCAGACGAAACTCGAGCAGTTTTCAGCGAGGCTACCAACAGTGAGGTTATGAGGTGTCCCTAGGAGACGAAGAACCACAGGTTCACCACCGTTCAGCGACACCTCTCTTAACAGACTGGACCTCAAACACCAGCAAGGCTGTCCCTTCAGCCGGCCAGACTGAAGTTTTTTTCCTTTTTTTCAAAAAAGGTATGAATTACCATTAAATTTTTAACCAATAAATTCAGTTTCATTCTTTAAAGAAAATGTTTTTGCAAATCATTTTGTGTTAACTCCAAAAGAGTCCAAACAATATCTCTCTCTAGACCAGTCTTCAAGGTAGCAGGAGGATGAATTACAGCAGTCAGATACCAAAATGCTTTCCAAAAGTCAGAGGCCAACCAAGCACTGGGCTCCACTCACTGTGAACACAGCACAGCTGCTCAGTGAGAAATCCAGCCATCTGTAAAGTCACGTTGGTAACTGAATATCAGCAGCAGAATTCCGTACAAAGTGATCCTAGCAGAGGCCCATAAAATTCAATATTAAGTGCAAAGACAATGATTTTTTTTTTTTTGGTCCTACATGCAATAACACACAAGAACTGCCAAATTATCTTTGTGCCTTGTTTTAATAAATAATTCAGCTCATTTCACATGTAATAAATTCATTAGGCTCTGGCATTTTGTTTTACATTACAAGACCAAGCATATTTTAACACAATTCATTTCAATACCATGCTTTTGGCACCATTAGTAATGTCACAGTTCTGTAAGCACGCCTCGCTGCGCTGCCAGCAGGGTTTGGCTTGGTGAGTTCATCTCTGCTTCCATGTCTACAGAGACACGAGATGCAGAAGGATCACACTGCACACGTGGGCCTGTCCCAGGCCCTTGCCCTGCCCAGTCCATGGTGCCTTCCCCCATCACCACAGGCAGGAACACCATATTCCACGTCAGAGCTCCAGGTCCTGAAGGTCTCCCCAGCTAGGTCCGATTTTCACCTTAACACTCAGTGTCACCGAGAGTTTGACGGCGTTTTCCATCTCGTGCTTCACAATCTGAGCAACCTACAACAAAATGAGAAATGTCAGATGTACACAACTTCAGTGCTCTGGTTGTCTGTCGGCAGCTGGGGTGGCCTGGCAGCTGGAATCCTCTCCTGCATTTATTTGCATTGTCTTAGCACTGACAGGAATGCAACCAAACACCTTAATCTTGATTAGGGTTCCTGAACAGAGAAATTCTATAAAGCCAGTAATATTTTATGCAGCACAGAGTTGTGATGGGTTCTCCACTGTTTGACTACTTCAGAAAGAGGCAAGATTAAGTTTCCATTAAACACTTGAGAGTCTGTTCTGAAAACTTCAATGTACTGAAAGCAAGACACAAAAACACACCAGAGGCAAAGAACAGCGTTCCTCCCCGCTTCCTTGTGTCAGCACAAGAAGCACCCTGTGAATCACAAGTGAGAAACCTCTGGGAAAGCAGACTGCACTCAAAGCAGGTACTAGAAATACTGCCCAGGTTCCCCTTCACTATTTTGTTGAGGCAACTCCAATGTTTGCTGCCCTCCAAAAGTATTCCTAAGAAAATACTCATTTCAGTACAGTTAGGGGACCAGAAGATATTTTTGCCTGCAACATTTTATATTGTAAGAGACTGCTTTTTTTTCTTTCCTGACTGTATACACCTGTCCTGCATAAAAGGACTCTCCTTCCTACCCAAAGCCCCAGGCAGAGTCCAGCCTGTTCTGTATTACTTATCTGAATGAATCTTTCAGGCCTCACCCAACTCTCAAACCTTTCCAGAGCCCAACAAAAAGAGGCTCTAAAATTCCTCATCTTGGCCAGAGGCCACTGTGCCAACACAGGAACTATTCAAGCTCTCTGACCCTTCCATGAGCTTTCATAATGCCCTCAGACATCCACAGTAGAAATTTCACCACAGTTTTTGCTGGGGAATGGAGGAGGGATTTGAGGAGATCAGAGACAAGTTTACAGCAGCATTAAGAACTAGGGAGAGATTTGTCTCCAAAACCCTATGTCTGTATGCACCACGTTTCAAAATAATCTTGATAACCCAGAAAAATGCTTTGAAATAAGATGTAATTCAGCACAGAGGAATACAGAGTAGACAGAAACAGGGCAGAGAACTAGCATAGAAACAATCTACTGTTCAAAACCAGGATGAAAAATAACTGCCTGGCCAGGAAAAAAATGGGCTTATCAGATGTTAAGAACTGAACAGGGCTTAAGCAAGGCACACTGTTGTAAGAAAGAAAGCAAAGCAGTTCTGGAACCTAGAAAAAGAAAATGTTACTTGTGTGACACACAGATCAGTTTTCCACTCTATTAAACCTCTCCATCCTTGATCAAGTCTGGGGCCTAGTATTTCAAAAGAAACATGAACCATACAGAAGATGATTCTCTGGGAACATTTACAGGTCCAGCACACAGTGAGGAGCATCAAGTTAAGGCTGCTGCACTTGGAACAAGTGATGGTGGTTGCAGGGGAGACACAAAAATATTATCACAGCCTTGCTGTTGTGGTAAGCTCTGAAAGGTCCCTATCTTCACTTTGACATTCTGCCCTGATGCCCCAGGCATGTCACACCCTTAGCACAAGAAAAACCAGGCACGACCCCAATGTGTTCTTTCATGAGAGGCAAGTGAGCTCACGGATCTCATTCTGTTCTCATTTGCAGTCTATCACTAGCATTGTTTCTCTTCCAAACTTTTGTAAGGATAGTCTTACTGGAACACAAATCCCTAGATCCAGAGAAAAATATTTTAGTTTTCTTTTGTGCACTTCAGCAGCTGAAAATAAGCCAGAGCTAGCATCACGCATGTGACCAAACTTCCTTATTTGAATAAAAATTGCTGCTGCAGCAGAGAGATGATTTACAGTATAATAAAGCTTTGGTGGCAGAAAAATAAGAAAAAAAAACCCTCACCAATACAGAAACCAGGAAATGCTCACCTTTTTTTAACTGAAAGTCATATTGTAGTTCAAAAAGACTAACTAATTCAGGCCCTACTTTGCATGAAGGCTTAAGAAGGAGAAAATTCAAGAGAACCTTTCCAACCTAGATCTTTCCACTGTAGAATAATTCTACAGTGCTAATTCTAGCACTGCATCTGAAAGGAAAGTAGGCAATATTATCACCAAAAAAAAGAAAAGAAGATATCTTTTCTGTCCCTAAAAACAATTAACTCAAAGGGGTAAGAAGTACCCTGTTGCCTCAGCTAGACAGAAATTGTTGAGAAACAAGCAAATCTGGCACTCACAAGGAAAGCCTGTGTCTAGAAAACACACCTTGTATACATATGCTGTTTTAAGTGACTGCCCAGAAAAATCTATGGACAGATCTATAGCTGAAGGCAAGTAGAAAACCTGGTAATAACTGCCCTTGAAGTTGGGGTTGTTAATGAAAAACGGAAATATATTAGATAATAAGCAAATCCACTTACTTGGCCCCAGTTCTTCTGGGGACACTGTGACAACTTGGAGTCAGTATCTAAAGAAATAAAGGCCTGTACTCAGGGGATTTCAGTTTTCTACAGAAAGAAAATTAGAAGCCTTTTCATCTCTAATACAGCCTACCTGGACTGAAGCAGCAGATGTCTGAACAGAGCTGGCAAAATGAATAGAAGCTTGAGCTAAGATTCAGGAGAAAAATATTAACCTTCTGTTCTTACTTAAAAAAAAAACACCACCCCAAAAAAACCCACTCAGGCCAGTCGGTATTGCTGAAAGCTCTCTGTATTCCTGCTTGCCATCAGGAGAGGGCCTTTTCTCATTAAGGATGTGTATGCACAGAACAGAACTGGGAAGAAGACATTCCACAGGGCTGTGGAAGGACACACTAAGAACCCTCTTGCATTTGTGCTCCCAACTTGGGAGAACAAGGAGCTGCCAACAAATGGCTAAAACACTTGCTGCTGAAAGCTGTCACACAGACACCACTATGCCTAGGCACAGGAGCACCTACACAGTGGAGGAGTGCACACAGACATGCTGATAACCAGCACCATAACACTCCTACCAGAAAGACCCATAGGTAGGGAATGAGGAAACAAGTACCAAAAGTACAGAATCCTCCTTTCACTACAAAGAGTACTAACCACAGCTGTAACAATGCATGTTCTAAGTTAGGCACCAGAAGACACGAGTGTAAACAGGGAGGCAAGCCTCTAAACTCAGAGAAACATCCCCCTAACCCTGTTGAGAACATCAAGCTACTTCACTTATCAAGTGTTGCAGGAAGTTGCACAAACTGTTGTTAAAAGCATCAAAGCACATGCTGGAAGAAGGAACTTGAGTCTGAAAACAAAAGGGTATAGAATACAATTTTTAAACCAATTTAACACCATCTTCACAGACCTTTAAGTGCACAGAGAGCAAAGATTCAGGGAAGAGAAGCTGAGCCCCTAGAAGGAAGGCTTGTTTGAAACATCATAATGCAGTAGAGAGCTGAAAAAGTAACTGTATGGCTGTACCTGGATGACATCATCCTCTGCAACCTCATAGAGGAGCTCATCGTGCAGCTGAAGGATAAAGAAACCTCCGCTGATGGGATGCAGCATCCCTCTGCTCCTCTTCCTCACTAGTTTTCCTACACAAGTGAAGAGCAGTTTGTTAGATACCATTATGCAAAGGCATGTCTCCTGTAATTAAAACACCCTCACATGTTCTTAATGATGAGAAAAAGAACATAAGGAACTTTAAAATGAAAAAGCCCATGCCTAGAGATAAAACCCCAAAACATTACTGTTCTATCAATATTTGTACAGCTACTGAGAGAAAAATGTTAATGAAAAGCATTTTAGATATAAACATTTCAACCTTACGTTATAAAGATATGAATCAGAACAGAAGCAAGAGACAGTTGTGTCTCCTGAACCATCTGTTTTAAAAGTAAATTTTAAACAAAATTATGTCAAGTTTAATCAGAAGTCGGTTTACAATGTTCTCTCCAGCAATGAATTAGGATTCTGATTTTCTTACAAAATCATTTTCATGGCTAGTCTAAAAAGGCAGTAAGCATTCTCCAGAATGCAGTTATCTGAAAATGTAGCTACTACTCCTGATTAAAAAAAAGGAAAGAAAAAAGAGCAGTTTTTGAATAAACAAGGTAGCAGCTGACAAAAACAGGATCCTGATAGGCCTTGCCTGACAAAAATAGAACAGAACAAACTGTTCCATGGTAAAATTTAAAAAAAAAAAAACAAAAAAAAAAAACAAAAAAACACAAATACAACCTGACACACACAGACTCAAACGTTATTTATTTCTCAAGTTAGCTAACGAGGACTCCACAACTACAGGAAGGGTTTCACAGCATCATCAGTTCCTCACACAAGCCTCACACTGAAGCATCAATGTTGAGGAAGCCACGTGATGCAGGATGCTTCCCTGATGGCACAGGCAATTTATAACTTGCTGAAAAAGAATCCTTTCCAGTTCTTGAAAGAGCTGGTATCAAAAGGAGGAAAAACTGTCACAAATGTGTCTACCCACCTTCCAACAATTACACTGGCCAAAGGTCAGTAGCTGCTGCTCCTGGAACGGGTGAGAAGCTCTGGCAACCACATGCCTTCTACTCATATCAGACCTCTGAATCCTGTCTCTCTAAAATAAAACTCCCTGACATACTTTTGGAGATGTGGCAATTAATTATTTAGTTTTCTTTCTCAGTCCTACAAATCAGACCCTCATATTAAGACAGCTTCATGTTTCAGGTTGAAGCATATGAACTATCAAAGAACGTTAGCACTCCATCCCTTACGCTGTATTTCTAAAAATACGACTGATGAAGAAACACATCTATACTACACTAAAAAAAGTCTTTGTAGTGCTCCTCTGGGAATGAATATTCCAGCACAACCTTGCTATCTTCAGCCAGAAGAAATTTATACTCTCAAGTCCTTCATAACATACTCATGTGGAGCCTCTGTACATCAAATTCCAGTCAACAAATCCCAGACTTAATTCTAACAAAATGATGTATTTTTTGAACTAGAAGTTGTTCCACTCTATAAAGATATATTTATTCACTTCCTTTGAAACCAGAGTATCTGCTCAGTTTCTCCTTCCTACTTCTGAACAATTCTGTGGTAACATCATGGACCACATCACATGTGGACTCCCACTGCCAACTTTTGCAGACTTGCCACTGTCGGGGTTAGAAGACATTTTCTTTCCTTTTTTTTTAGGCAATTTTATTAATTTTTTTTTTTTTACTAAGTAACATTGAAAGTGTTGCTCTAGTGTGCAAGGTGGAGGTGAGCATACCAGTCTTATCTCTCTTGAAAGAGCTCTCCAGATGTCCGTGGGACTTGGTCACAGAGGAGAAAGCTTCCAGGCGCCTCTGAATGTTCACTGTGGCTGTTTTGACAATATCTGCAGCAGATCCCTGAACAGTTGTATTCACAGCCTGTCGCTCTGCCTAAATAGAAATAGTTGTTCTCAAAACCTACCCAAAAAAATAAATTAAACCCAGCATACCACATGCACTTCATTAAAAAGAATAAATACATGACCAAATACAGGCATAGTAAAACCTCCAGATAAAGAGTTTGTTGTATCTGCCCAAGACAGACAAACTAGACTAGCTTCAGACACAAAATTTTTCCAGGTGACTGAGAGAAGCAGGATTTCCACAAATTTAGAATTAATATTAAGGGTAATAACAAGCCACAAGAACGAGAAGCATTTACACATGATAACAGTTTCATGAGGAGCAGAAAATTCTCACAGGTAATCCAAGACACTTCTGACTATCTTAAAAACCATCAGGAATGGATAACCAAAGGCAAGAAGCTGGATTACATGGACTAATAAACTGGTATGTTACACTGAATTCTGACTGCCAGAGTATTCCAGCTGTGCTGTAAATGTGTAAAAACACACCAGACCACACTATGACACATTTTTTTTTCCACACAAGCAATCTCTCTACCAACACCCTCCTCAGACAAAAAAACTGTATTCAAAGGTTCTTCTCTCTTTGATTAGATCTGAAATGTGTGCTAAAAGTTATAAGGAAGCTGAAATAAATGTGAAGATAATTAACTTGTCTTTAATATTATTTTAAAGAATAAATCAAAGTTGAAGAGAAGGTGCATCTACAAAGCTTCATGATGAAGTATCCTTCAGATTAAAAAAATCTCAAAAGTTTTTTGATAGTCTCCTCCTTTCACTTTCAACTACTTGGAGCACACATTCCCCCACGCTTTATCCCTGTTCTACTCTAGTCTCTAATTCCACATGACCTGATCCAGCTTCCTAGTGAGAAGTATAATGCTTTGTTCCCACAGAAACACACCAACATCACCCCAGGGGGTCAATTCACTCTTACTGAAGTAGAGTCTATGACAGATGTCCAAAATTACCTTGAAAAACAAAAAAATATATGCCTTCACAATGACGTCAAGTAACTATTTATCTAGCAAGTTAGAGCAATTTTCCTTTGACAGGAAATAAGAGAAGAAACAAATACCACAAAATATAGGGCTTAAATGCCCTTTCTTGTTCAAGTGTTAATAGCATATAACATACAAAGACTGCTAAGTGGGAGCAACTGTCTGGAAGAGTTAAAGCTGTGTGGATTTTTAAAATCATGTCCACTTATTTCAATAAATTACTCACTCCAGTTCCAATGTGGGAGTTCTGAAGTGAGGTTAGCACAGTGATGATAGCTGTACACCCCGTCACAGAAGACTTACGTCAAGCAGACCATGACAAAAGCTGTTATTTAGAGAACTACTGAGGGAACAATGAACTAAGTAAAAAGTAGAAGGTTGTGACCAAAATGGCTCATAGACCCTGTAAAACCGCAGATACAGATATGCAAAGAAATCTCATGCTTTAAAAATAAATTTTTAATAACATTAAAAAGCACTCAACATACATGAGCTCTACTGTAGGGGTTTGGGTCATTGATAGCTGGCAGGTATCTCCGTCTTCCCAGAATGGTCTGCACAAATCCATCTTTTCTGCAGCTCCTCACTGTGTCCCTCAAGAATTTCTGCATCCCTGTGGAAGAAAAGGTTTTCCTAGAACAGCTGCTGTTGCATGCTGGGTTTTCACTGGCGTCACTGAAAGGGGTCTGGGACACCTAAGCAAAACAAAGGTAATTCTTCCAGTTTCCTAGCATCTATCAGCAGACAAGAGTACACTCATTCAGCCTGTTCACAGCTCTGCTGGGAAACTTATTAAGACCTTTGTGGTGGAAGAGAGACAGTGTCAGAATATCCATCTGTGCACAAGGAGGTAGGAAGTCCATTCTGCAGAGCGCCCAGGCACAGAGGATCATACGTGTACTATTGACAATGGAGAGGTCAGGACCTGGACAAGCACTGGAAAGACAAGTAGTAGGAAGAGAGTAATTTGAAAGCAGAAGTCAGGGCCTCTGATGCCTCAGGCTGCCTGACTTCAGGCCGTGTCACTTCAGATTCAAGGATGAAAGAAATTCACACACCTGCACTTTGCAAGGGAAGAAGTGAATCCACCAAAGGTGTTAAAAAGAAACATAGGTCAAAGAAAGGTGAGACAACGAAGAGTCCCTTTCACTGCAAGTTCAGGTAACAACTGCACTAACATGGAAAAAGTTAACTTCAGGCAGTTTCTTCCCAAGATTTAAAGATATAAAATGTAAAAGGAGCTATTTAAGATGGTGCCTAGTGGCATGGTTTAGTGGTGGACCTGGCTGTGCTGGGTTAACAGCTGGACCCGATGGTCTTAAAGGTCTTTTCCAACCTAAATGATTTTATGATTCTGTTCAATGATTCTATTCAAGACTGACAGCATTAGTCAATGTATTAGGTATGTAATTTAGCATATCAGCCTGGGAAAGAAGTGATGTCACAATAGATGGTACATTGCAGAGCTTGTACGGACACACGTGTGGCGAGAGGGAGGAAGCAGGAAGTTATTTCTAATGAAGGAAAGACTATCCAGAAATTACTGGAGACTAAACAGACTCTTAATAGGACATATCTCTCAGTATCTCTCTCCTAAAGAAACAAACCCCGAATCTCCAGAACATAATTTTCCAACTCATTTTGAAGTTTTATGATTAGAGCTAGCTGTCTCTCATCCAATTTGTCCTCCATTCTTTTTCTTATTGCAGCTCTACTCTTTCTATAATTTTCCTAAAAATTAATTTGCTTCTTAAAAATGCAACAATGTCTACTTACAAAATATGGAAGAGTTGCGTTGAATAGATGGATAAAAATTTAAGGTTTACAGGCAAAATAGTTTTAAACTCAAAGAAAGCAGAAGACAAGAAGAGAGAAATGGCTACATCTAAAAATTTTAACTGTGGTGTAAAGTGGTATTGCATATTCTTTGAAGCTATGTGTTTTAATAAGGAAAAGGGTGTTTCTTATCCAGAAAGTTAAGAGTCTTAAAATGAATCCCCAAGGGCTTATGAAATAACTTTTAAAACCACCAAAACAATTAATGTAGTAAGCAAATAACAAGGTCCTAAAAATTAATAAAACCAGAACGTAAGGTAAAACGTTATGGACTATCAAACTACTGTGCTCATGTGCTGGACTTTTTCACAATGAAAGGCTTTTGAAAAAGATACAGGAGTAGTAGAGGGCTGAGACAAATTTAGGATTTGAACAAACATCGGAGAGAAAGGATTAAACCCAACAACCACCACCACATAGCTCCCAAGCAGGCATATCCAAACCTGTGTATCTTGATTTGAAGGATTCAATGTAACTGGCAGCTTCATTTTCATCAATCTCCATCTGCTCGCCTAGAGATTTTGCTCCTATTCCATAGATGATTCCATAGCAAATCTGCCAGAGGACAGTGTGAAGAACAGCAACCATATGGTGAGCCATGCAGAGAAAGCAGAGCCAAACCAAAATGTGATTCACTGGAAGACAAGCGTATGGGGAAAAGTACAAGCATTCAAGAAGAAAAGACTGCCTCTAAGTTCAAGCCATTCAGGCTGCTTTTCTCCACCCTCATTGTTCAAAATCCAGACAGCTCCAGTTGAAACATACTGAGGGTGGGTGAACATACAAAGAAACTATTAAACAATCATGGCCAAACCCCAAGATAAAACTGTATCATTGTGACTCCCTGATGTTTCAAACACTGAACCTTCCTGCCCAGAAAGCTGCTGCTGACTTTTTTTCGTAAAAATTACCTGTTTAGCTTGTTGCCTGGTCCTATCTCCAACAGCTTCAGGATCAATCCTCTTCCATTCTGCTGCAATGCTCTTAAAGACGTCAGTACCCCTGTTCAAAGCTTGAATAAGTCGACAGTCACAAGACAAATGAGCAAGGATCCTCAGTTCAAGCTGAGAGTAATCAGCAGCCAAGATCAAGCCACCTAGAGCCAAGACAGTAGCAGAAATCATTATTTCATAAATTACTCCAGCAACATTCCAACCAACATTCTAGCAAGAAGGACTGAAGGTGTCCTGGTACCTTTTGCTCTGACAGTTCTCCATAACCATTTCCATTAGACAAATCCTGTTTCTCCAATGTCCAGGCCTGCCTGCTTTCCATTTAGCCCCTGTATCTACAATCCATCAACAACACACAGGCAAGTGCCCAACCAGGTATGTGTTTAAAAGTCTAGCACCTGGTAGGAACGATCAGCACAGTCATCAGACCAGCAGAGTGTACTGAGCCGGGGCAGGCCATGTGGGAACTGACATTTGGATAAAAAGAACACCAGATAGAGTCAAATTTCTGTATTAAGAGCTGCCTAAATGACCTCTTTAAAAAACAAGTTTTCTTCAAGCGGAAATGAAGGTGGGAACATTTGAATTATAACATCTGAATACTTCACCCAGCTGAAACTCTCTCCTTTACAGTTCTGTGAATAATTTTGAGGGCATGCTAACTACTGCTTCAGTTTTCCCAGGTAGGCTGCTTAGTCAGATATACACTGCCATCAACTCTTAACTCTTCATTAGAGCTAGGATTTTTTGTTACCTATATTCTTAACAATTACAGAGCAGGATCTTGGCATTACCTGGGAAGGGAACAAAAGCATGCCTCATGCTAACAGAAAATGGTATTCCTCTTTCTTCAGATCTGTCTTCAGCCTGAACCTTCAGGCCATTAAGCAAAATACTGGAACGCTTTCTACATCTGTGGAGACAAAGAATGACTGTTCTTCACCAATTTCTAAAACACTTGAAGATGCACCATCATTTTTGCCACAAAGAATCAGTGAAAATAAGCAAGACAGTAGCCTCTATTTCACCCCTGTGGACAATCCATACCTACATTTGATTGTTGGGGAATTTGACAGAGGTGTACATCTGAAGGGTTTTACTGACTCTGAACCAGATTTAGGGATAAATCTTTCTAGTACATTCAGGGCTTGGTTCAGAAACTGGGTATTTCCACTCCAAAACACGTAAGATGAAAGGCCCCACATCCGTGATAAATGCATTCCAGAAAGATAGTAAAGGAGTCCTACAGGAACCCTAAAAATTCAACACTCCACCTTGAGCACCAGATCTTCAACATCATTCCCATGTGCAGAATGCCTCCACCATCCCATACCTGGTAGAAACAGAGCAGATTTCCCCACAACATCAGCCTCATGACTGTGGATGCATGCACACATACACGTAAGCCTATGAAAGCAGAGCACAAGCTGCAGAAGACATGCTCATAACTGCATGCACAACATCAGCCTCATGACTGTGGATAGCTGCAGAAGACACGCTCATAAAACACTGCATGTTTCCTCTCTAAAGACTGACAAAAAAAATTGCCTCAAAGCAACCTGATTTTCTTTTCCAGAAGGTCAGAATTTTACAGTGGCATACAGGTACTCTGCAGCCTCTTCAGGCTTGCTTCACTCTCCTGTCTCACCAAGCCACTGGTATGTGCAGATGAAATTGTATCCATCAGTGCACCCATCGAACAGGGCACAGATGTGACACCATCCACACCACCTACTCCCGTCAGCACCTGTCTACCAGCCAGTCCATTGAGTTCTTCACTGGAAGCCAAAAGGCCTTTGTAAGTCCTTGACGTTTGGATCAAGGATCTGAGCAATTTCTTCATCAGAATGAAAAGGTATTTCTCAGACTAGTTTCAGACAAGCACAGAAAAGACATCATGCTCTTCCCCTTGTGCACTTCCTTTTCTTCTTCTACCTTGCCATTTGAAGGATAGGGGGGATCAAGGAGATGAAAGATAGCACAAAGTCAGAGGAATAAATCTTCAAAAGAAATAAAGGTGAGGCACAACATAAGGGAACTGTAGAGAATCACACTGTCCAGCATAGGTTCCCAGTTCAGTTGGTGAGTAAGTGCTTTACACCATGATCTAATTTAGCTACACTCATTTGGTTAGAAGCTTCTAACAACAAGAGGAAGGAACAGTAATAGTAATTGCTAACATAAAAGACAGTTTGGAACAATGTTTGGAAGGCCTATCAGATTTAGGCTGCTTGACAGCTTCTTTTGTGGCAGGAATAATTTCTGTGCCTTTAGGATTACCTGTCTTCCTAACACAGTGGCCACTTCACAAAGCAATGTAGTCCTAACAGTCAGCCTGAGAAGCAGACCTCTCTCAAATTCCAGCAAGCACTCCATTCTCTCTACGGGCTGTTTCTTTATGGGGAAGACTTTAAAAACCCAGCCCACTCTCCAACCACCCTGCAAAGCTGCTGCAAACCCGAGTACTGCTAGAGCTATTTCTCAGAATGACATTTCTGCCTCCAAAGCTAGGCCTGGTTCTTCTGAAGAGAGATGGACAAGATCCTGCTACTCCTGGGCTTCGTTCTCATGACCTACTCAAGGTACAAGTATGTTAGAAACACGGTCATAGGAAAAGACAGAAGAGCCAAAAACTTCTCACATTTCTCACATCTTGCTGTGGGAAAAAAAGACTTTTATAAAGTCACTCAGGTGACACATGTGGGACAAAAACCTGAATGGAAAGAGTAACCTGGAAGAAAGAAAACCACCACCAAGTATGAAGTCCTAAAGCTCACAAGCTAGCCGCTAAAAGATCCAGCTTGATATTTCACTAGTCTTCCACACAACCATTTAGGCACTGGAATGTAATGCTGTCAAAATAGGGTGTTTGGTTAACAGAAACCAGATTTAGAAATCTTCTCTGCTTCATTACCACCAATGAAATTCTAAATTCTAACAAAGAATGAAAACTATGTTCACTTCCTTTACAGAGGGAGCTGCACAGCAGATGAACTTTCTTCTGCTTCTTCCACAATCTCCCATCCTCTTTCAGAGTAGCTCTTAGAAAGCCAAACCAGATCCTAACCTCAGTTTAGTTACTTTTCACACTCAGGTTTTTCATCCAACAGTTAGGAGCATAATGCTAATCTCACTGTAGGGTTTCATAAAGAATTTCAAAAAGTGACTACAGGGAGCCACATGTTGTTAGCATTATTAGGTCTTTCATGCGTCACTGATTTTTAGGTATTTATTCCCCTGAAACTGTAAGAGAAACATTGAGTAACAAGTCACACTGCCATGACAGCAGCCACAGGTGAAGTCAGAAAGAAATTTGACAGCTGCACCACATGAACATCAGAAGAGTAGGCAGAAGCTCTGCCAAGATCCTCCTACCTGCCCCCAGGAACGGCACGAGGCTTTACGTTTCCATGGGCTCGGGAGGGTGGGCTTTCTTCAACCACAGTTGGCATTTCAATCTCAAAATCTCTTGGCACATTCTGGATATTTGGGTCTGTAAAGGTTATTCGACCTGAGAAGGAACACAAGACAGGACTAAGTGTGCAAGAGTTCTTCTAACTTAACACAGCTGAATACACATCTGCATCTCCAAAAAACAAGCAGTAGGAGGGGCAGCACAAGACATGACCACTGAGAAAACTGAAGAAAATCAAAAACAGTTCAGGTTTAATGGGCTTGAGCTGGTTCTCCTGCAGCATTGCTGTACCACTAATTAGAAACTCCCAGATCCAGAACCTGTTTTGGGGTCAGAAATTTACATGATAATACATGCAAGAAAAGAATAATAGTGCTCAGTGAACATAAAAGCTATTTTAACAGATCTAAACTTTTAAGGCAGATTCACAATAAACAGGTATTTCAATATTTCCATTTGGCTGAAGTATACCACAGGCTTCATTTCCTACCTTTTTCCCCTAGAAAAACTGCCCACACATACATAAAGAAAAAATATCAGTAAGAAGTGAGGATTTTGCCCTTATTTCTTTACCTGTAGCTGTGTGAGTCTGTGACACTGGATATATCCTTTCCATTCCCAGAGCAGAATTCAATCTCTTTTCCCTCTGTAGTGGAAACACCACTTTAGTAATGGCGTTGTTGATCCTCCTCCATTCCAGTATCAGCCCTGGCAATGGGTGAAGTGTCTTCAATTTCTCCAAAACATCCTTGAAGGGAGAAAAGGGCACAACTCTAATCAACTGCCTCTAAAGCTTTATAAAGTTTTTGCAGTTCTGCAGAGAAAAAGCAACTCCTTCACCCACAGCGAGCCTCCAATGTCATTGCCTTAAAATTAAATGGATATACCCTCCACTTATACCACCTACACCTTGGCAATCAAAGCAGTTTTATTGCACATTTGGCAATCACTTCTCTTTGGGCTTTTGCACCCTCGTCACCACACAGTCTGCATCAACCAATAAATCACCTGAAATGATCAAATGAAGTATTACTTGCCATAGGTCCCCTACGTTGTCTCCTCTTGCCCAGCATTACTGCTCCTCCTCCATCTTCTTGCATATTTTTCTCCCTGCTCTCTCCTATCCATACAGTAGGAACATATAAAATGAAACCCTTGACTGTGCTCCTTGAAAGACAAAGCTGATCACCAGCAATCAAATCCTTTCAGTTAAATCAGAAATATGAAGGACTAACAAGAATTTCAAAAGGCAGTGGCATACAAACACTTCTCAAAATAACATTTTTTTGTATACAGCAGGCAGCTGCAGCCTCATCCCTCCACACATCACAAAAGGAGGAAATTCTCACTTTGCTTTTTGCTCCCTGCTCTGCCACCACCACCACACTCACATGTTCACTGCCACTTGAGTTTCAGAAATCAATACTTGTCTTCCAAGAACCAACTACACTGAACAAGGGGAAACTAAGAAAATAATACAGATTAATGAGCCCTGAAAACAGGGAACATATATATCTGCTAATATCACTTGTCTGGCAAGAACACCCCTTAGCCTCAAGCAGTTGACATTAATGCAGCTCCACAATATTTATCAACTGGCAAGCACGTCAATAGCCTTCACATATATATAAGCTTATTATATACTAAATTTTATAAGCCATCAGAGCAGCCACTCTGAAGAAAAATTCCCTGAAGCACAAAATAGAGATATGGTAGTACCAGGCAGGGAAAATACTGTATTTAATCACCATGGTATTTAAGTATCTTTCAAGCTGATGTTGAAAAATTATTCTACTATTTGCTTTACAAAATTATTGTGCTATTTTGGTCTTACACATGGTTTTAGAAATCAAATTCTGTCTGATTTATTCTTACTGAAGCCTGCTATTTATAGTTATGCCCTCATTAGGCTCAGGCTTTAGGAAAGCAGGAGGGGTTAATAATTCAGCTAACACAGAAGGCAGAATCCAGTTTGAATTTCCAGTGGTAACTGGAGGAGCAAAAAGCCGTTAAAATTTACTTCCATTTAAGTCAGTGCACCTAACTCAAATGTATCTAAGCAGCAGATGTGTAAAGTAAGAGGGAGTTATTTTTACAGTCATCTTCAGACTAGAAACAGACTTTACTGTACCTTAGTTGTACTGAACTGTTTGCTCAACCTAACCCTGTTTCCTTTAGCAGTTGCTCTTCTGGTATAACCCAGAGTTTTCTTGCTCCCTTGAACTTTCACATCTCCATTTTGGGGCAACTTCAGCTCTAGGAACAAAACCTGAAAGAGATAAGCATTTGAAATCAGTTTCTGTATGCTACTACTCCCATGAGAAAACAAATAGCAGCTGAGCACTTAAACAGCTTGTTCCAAACAAAGGATAGTACGAATGCTTCAGGTAATTAAAAAGCTGATTAAAGATCTCTGCTATCAAAGTTATTCCTCCTCATTTAATTAACTACAAAATGCAATCTAAAATCTCATTTTCTGAACATTGTAAGTTTGAGTTCAGAGGTATGGTTTTGGAATAGGTAATTAACTCCATCCTATAAGTGAGGTTACTGCTGACAGTCAACTGTAACGCTACATAATGTTAAGAGGACTAAAAGTGGGAAGAGCATTGGTGGAAAAAAACAGAAGTGTTAGCAGGGAGCAGGCTTCGGAGCAGCATGAATGGTACAGGAGGAGGTGGTCACATATACCTTTAACATAATAGCCAGAATATTAGTTTTTCTAAAGAATTGCCAAGAGCTGGAATATTAAGTATATGCTCACTTGTTGACAACAGAACACAGTACTTGATTTTTCATTCCACGTTTCTGTGTAGCATTATACACTATTTAGCAGCTATTGTGGTTCACTTCACAGCTGGGAAAAGGCAATAGAAGCTTTCCTCTCACATTTTTGTAGTGCAGTTTTACTGACACAAAATTAGAAAGGTAAAGCTGTACTAACAAAAAATTACCAATTTCCACGTGAGAAACAAGCTTCTGTAGTTCAGAGAACAGCATTTCAGAAAAAGTTTTCCTCCCCCTTTTCCAGGAAGCAGAGTGAAATTAGAACTGAGCACTATTTCAGGAGTTCTAACTAGACTACTGTCACAGAGCAAAACTTCTGCATTTGCAAAAAAGCAGGAATACTTCTGTGAAACTTCTTTTAGTGATGGCTACTTGCTAATTTTGACTATTTCCATATAACCTACAGTCCTTCAGCAAGAAATTAGTATGTAGAAAAGAAACAAATGGAGAAAAAACATGCATAGCAATTATAACCTATTCCTATGATTCAATGTAACATACATTAAAAATATATAGCAAAGTCCTTCAGCAATAAAAGCATTGCTAAGTTACATAGAAATCTGTTTCTTAGGCTTTAAAAAAACCAGTTCTATATAGATTCTTGAAAACGGACAGTTTTTGATTCAGAACTTTTAAAATAGTCTTTCCTCCTCTTTCACGCCTGTATAGGGACAAGGATGACAATAGAACTTATTCAGTACAACTATTCTTAGACTCATGATATCACATCTTGTGTGCACTGGTTCTGCAAAGAAGATTCTCTAGCCCCACACCATTCATTCAAAAGATTCCAAAAGCCATTTAATTGGAAGATCATCTCATGTGCCGTGAGAAGCCAAGATCCTACACAAGCCACATGCTTATTTCCACTTCTATCTTCTTTATTTCTGCTAAAGTTAGCAGAAATTGGGATGATGATTGGGACAATCAGGAGACACACAGCACCTTGCAGGCAGCAAGTTTACCATGAGCGCAAAGACAAATCAACTCTGAGCAGAGTTCAGTTTGTGTTTTGTCTTTTCTTCACAGGCAGCCTGCCCAAGAAGTGTCTTGTCTTAAGTGTAACAAAAAGCCTCATGAGGGCAACTTAGAAAGTTCTACCCCTCCCACCTTAACCCTCACATACCTCTGCAATGTCATCAGGGCTGGTCAAGGAGAAGCTGTGGCCTGCCAGCTGGTATGCCTTGGTCTCAATCTCACTCAGTTTAGCTTGCATGACCTGTTTCTGGGTTTCATATACTGTGGTGCTAAAACCGATGCCATTCAGCTCCAGCAGAGCCAAGCAATAATGGGTGGGCATCTCCACTTTAGAAAATACATCTGTAGTAAGTAAAAACCCCAAGAATAACACCAAAAAGATCAACTGCAGATAAACAAACTCATAAAAAAACAACTGGGGCATTCTGGTTTTTTTTAAATTCTAAGAGTCCTGACACACTGAAATATTTTAATATAGATTTAATTTAAATACTTTTTTTTTCTGGAATATTTCATAGTAAGAAATTATGATAGTAAGCTCTCATGATCATAAATTATGTGGTAAGCTTACAATAAAAGACTTCAGTGAGATTGGATCCTAATCTTTGGCTTTGGAAACAATTTAGGGGAAACAATCATAAAGCCCACTAATAGGTATGTGTTTTAAGGTTTGGGGGTTTTCTGTTTGCTTACTTGTTTTTAAACAGAGACAAGCATTCAGCAAATATTAGTGCAAACATGCTGGATCACCCACTATGACATCACAAAAAAGTTTCATGGACAGAACACATACATGGCAAAAAAAGTTATATGGGCAATCCAAAGAGCAATAAATCTCCTTCAGAAAACACTTGAGGACTTTAGGAATTGCTTCTGACAAGGAAATGCAAAAGCTTTTGAAAACGTTAATGAGAAACCACAGACAGACCCACAAGTCCCCTCAGAACAGCCAGGATACTCACCTGGGAAATGGAGATCTGTTTGACACAAACTTAAAATAGACTCTGCTATTACCTCAACCAGTGAAACTGATTGGTATTTGGGATATAAAAACTATATTTTAATTTTAATTTAATTTTTGACAAAACAGATGTACTTCCAAGGGAAGTTTCCTCTTATTTTAACAAATGAACATTTTGCCACAGAATATACTTATTGAAGAACTTTCATATCTCATCTCTTCTCCACTCATCATTCAGCACAACTACCTTTACCCTCCATCTTTGCCCCCAAGTGTAGGAGCTCTCTTTACCTGTCAGATTTTCCTTCTGCAGTTCCTTATGGAGTTGGTTCATGATGTTGAAGACAAGCACAGACTCTATTGCTGCCCTGTACCGCCCAGAGTGATCTTCACTGGCACTAAGCCCCAGGCTCTGCACCCCTTGGCCAGTGCCTACCCCTTCCAGCAGAGGCAGCTCGCTGGGGAGAAAGTTAGTCACCATGTTGTGAAGTGTACGTTCCTTAGAGCCAGAATCAAGCAGCCAACATGCCACCTTCAAAAAGGGAGACCTCCATGAGACTTTTTCTTCAATTTTAGTCATAATACAATGTAAACATTTAACTGGAGGTTAATGCAGGGTTATAGTGCAGGTTATTTTACTTCATTTGGCAGGTAGACTTAAATAATTTCTGGCTAAGTTACACGATGTGAGACAAAACCTTCAAGAGGGCATAAGTCACCAAAAAGCTTAATTCTCAGAGTTGATTCTCTATATTTGAAAACCTTACCCTTTGTCAACTAAACACATCTCAAATTATCTTTTTTTTTTTTCATTTATTAAAACCTAACACAAAGGGGATTAAATATGAAAAACAGGATCAAAACATGTTTAATCTCAAAACTGACTTTGTAAAAATCAGAACTTGCAATTCATCTAGAATACTAGTCCAGCTGAGCTATCCTATATTTTGCACATCAGCACTGGTACCAAGAACTCTGTAAGGCAAATTTTATTCTTGGCAAGCCTCATCGATCCCATTGTCTTCAAAGCAATTTCACTTATAGCTATATTTCATTTTCTTGTGTCAAAATAGAATAAAATACAGGTTTCTGCATCCTCTCTGTCATACAAGCAGAAGATAAAACCCACATTTGTGCTTGTGTCTATATGTATATATACACACCTATATATATACACACATACACACACAAGGGGGAGGGGAGGAGGGATGTGTGTGTTTGTATATATTCATTGCATCACCAAAATTAAAAAAAAAATAGTATAAATCCATTTAATACATGGCACAGTGCAGGGAAAGGTGCTACTTTCATTGTTCTTTAATTTTATCCTAAAACTATGCATTGGTATGAAAAATTAAGTTTGTCTGTGTGGAACACCTTGGCAAGGTGGTAGCCAAAGGCAGCCAAGTGGAATGCTACCATTGATATTGTATAGACACAGCAGGTAAATCTTTTGCTTACGAAGTCTTCTGCTCTCATAATCAATCATCTGACAAGAAGCACTCTGCTCTTTTAGTCCCAAGCTTCTTATAGCAACAAGAGTTCAGCCCTATTCAGTGGGACAGGGGAGATTTACCTTCATTCTCCCCACCCAAGCCTGCAAAGTGCCACCCAGCCTGAAAGATTAATGTGTTAATCTATCACTGCACTTCTTGTTTCCCTTGCAAGCACCACGAACACACACAGCTGAAGAGGTCTCCTCTATATACAGCTCCAGATTTCCCCTTGTAAGAACATTTCACTAAACCCCCCGACACGTGTGCATGTTCAAATCTAAATAACCAAAGGAAAGTACCAAAAGGTACTCCTGTCTTTCCACTGGTGTGTTGAAACTAGCAGTTTTACCCAAGCTAAATTTCTTAAACTTGCAGACCTTTGGGTCCTCAAAACTTCCTTCCAAGGAGATGCCACAAGCCATCACCAGAGTCTTGTAGTGCTGAATGAAGTTATACATGACAAGTGAGCGCTCCTGCTTGGGCTTCTTCTGCAGGTGCAGGTGCAGATGATACAGTCTCTCTGTTACAGGTAGGTTTTTGTCCAAAGGTGGAGGTGCCAAACTCATACTGATTTCTAAGGCAGAAAATAGAAGAAAAAGAACCAAAACATCTTTTTTACCCACTGCATGATAAGAAAAGCAAGAGGAAAAAAAATCTTAAATGTAATCATTTAAAGCACAAAACCTATAGCTGGAATGTGATCAAATAGTAATAAACCTATACTGACATTTTGTATTTTATCAAGCCAGACAAAGCAACATGATGTGTCTGTGCTACTAAACAAAGGAGACTCAGGGATCAAACCCTAGCCACGAGCCCACACAGTACAGGCTAGGTTATGCTCAGCATTCAAGTGTCAGATTTGTTCTGGAGAGCAAAAATTGGAAAAGGTTGAAAGAGAAAAGCAAGTAAGCTAAAGAGAACATAGGAGTAAGCTAACATTTTACCCATATACATTCTCAGCAGTCCAGTGCTTGAGCCAATTACCTGGCCTAATTTATATAGCAGCATAGATGAAGCCACAGCAACATGTTCAAGGGTGTTCAACACTTAAGACTGCTCAGTAGTATGGTTAAATCACCCCATCACACAGCTGAGCTGGGTTTGAGACACTCAAAACACTTCCAAAACCTATCTGCTGAAGGCACTTTCTTGAAACGCGGTATCGTGTAACACAGCACAGCCCGTCCACTCACTCACCAGTCTGGTCTTGAATCTGCTGCAAAGAGATGTAGTAGGCATCTCTTCCACCCCAGCATACTGCCAGTCCAACTACCAACAAGTCTTCACTGCCTTGTACAGGAAATCCATCATCTTTAACTTGCATCCACTGAGGAGAACTTACTAAAGGAATAATTTTAAAGTTAAAATTATAAAATGGCATCCATAAATATAGAAGAGTTTGGATCCTGAAAACGTGAATATTACACTGAGCCTAAATTTCTTAAAAGTGAATACATACTTCCATTTTCATCTGTAGGGAGAAAACTCTGTGTTTCTTTACATTAAAATAAATAAATAAATAAATAAATTTAGAATTGCAGAATTTTTCTTAAAAGAAACAATGACCCATATAGCATCCCTGCAAAGGTCTGGCCTTTCCTAGTAATCTTTTCAGGAGCCAAGATGGAAATGTATTCCCTTCTTCCACTCTGAAAAAAAATTCACATTTATCTGTCAAAAAGGTAATTTCATAGTTAAGGAATTTTATTGTTGTTACAGCAGTATGACAGCAAAGAATCTAACTCTGTTTAATCATGTTATTGTAACGGAAGGGTATGTTTGTACAGCAGCAGTAGCAAACTGCAGCATGTGAATACTTCTGTGGAAAAAATTGAAGCAACATTGCAAAAGAGACTGATCTGAATTTCACACGTGCATATATTGAACCAAGTTTATTTTTTGCAAACTCAAAAATATTTAACCTTGGTTTAGGGGCAATCCCAGAAGTAGTACTACTCAGTGGAGATGGTGAACAATGTGTAGTTTACTATCAAAGACATTATTCGTTTTAAAATACACTAAAACTTGTTTATGATGTGGAAAGATACATGTGATAAAGTGACTGCACAACACAGAACCATTTCCAAATTAGATACAATGAAACGTTAAGAATATTTAGATACTCTCCCATCAAAGAAGCTGCTAACTCTTCACTGCTATCACCAAAGACCTACCAATGAAATGCTTGACACTAATTCTCCAGTCTCTGCTAACACTCAGCTTCTCTGTTCTACTGAGACTAACACTGTTCAACTAATATCAATAACTTTCCTCCTTTTTTGCAAACTCTCTTCCTCTCCACTCCTGCTTTAAGCTGAAGATACACGCTGCTGTTCAAAAAATAATGCTCTGGAACATGGAACTGACCTTTTTTGAATTTGCCACCAATCGTTGATTTCGGAGACAGAAGACGTTTTGTTCTTTCACATGCCACCGAGATGGAGAACCTGCTTTTCTCCTTCCACTCTGTGACAAAAGTCTGGAAAAGTGCTTTGTCGCTTGCTACGTCAATAATAGTGAAACTTTCAGCACTTGAGGGAAAAATATCCTGAGATATCTGCAGTGAAAAGCCTTGGTCTGTAGTGGAATCATCTTTTATCTCATCAGTTTCAGTTGGCTCTACACTCCCAAGACTGACCTGGAGTGGTTTTACCTCCTGCTCTGCACTGCCCTCGCTGTTCTGCTGTGGCTGACTCAGCTGCCCTCCATTCATGCAGGCAACTTGTCTCTTCCTTGCAGATTTCACAGAGAAAGAAAGAGAACTCTTTGGAAAAAGCTCTTTGGGGGGTGTTGGAGGAATAAACCCATTATTACTATTTGGTGGAGGACAGGATGTTCTGTTGCTTCCCCTGAGTGGAACTGTTACGCAGTCTGTTTTCTGAAGATCCAAGTCCTTCATTTTGTTTTCTTTAACCTTGAAAGTGCTTTTTAAATCCTGGCAAGTGGGCAAAGGCTCCAGCTGACAACTGTCAGTCTCAACAACTGGATCTGGCTCTTGATTAACAACAGGAGCAACTAACTTTCCTTTCAAACAGGAGCTTACTGAAACTGGTTCAATGCCTGAGGGACTTGGCCATTTGTCCAACACGTCCTGTAACCCTGGGCTTAGTTCAAAGGAGTGGTCAGTCCACACCACTGGATGGGTTTTCTTGTCTAAAGCTTGCTGGCTTCTCTGGAGCTTTTCACCTTGATCTCCAACTAAATCCTTTGGTGTGGGGTCACTGTTAGAAATCACTGAGTTTATTAATCCTGACTGACCATGAAAGATAGGAGGAGGATCTTTCAGAAAAGACGGGGAATTTGCATGATCTAAAACTTCAGCCATTATGTCAGAGAACGCTGGAGACACATTGTTACACTGCACAGGATCCTCACGCTCTTTCTGATTGCCACCAACATCAAATTTATTCTGAATAGGCCTTAAGTTCTGCAAAAGAACATCTGGAGGAAGAAAAACCTCTTGCTTCTCCACAGGATCCTTTCTGTCAGCTTCTGTGATCTGAACAGCTGAAAGGTCACTGACATTACCGAAGCTATCATCAAACAGCAAGCTATCACTTACATTCAGGCTTGTTTCAGGCACAGGGTTGCATTCTACTTGTACAATGTGCTCACTACCAAAAGAGGAGGTTGCTTTATTAAGATCTTTAGACACACTCTTCCCTTTCACTGAATTTTGGGTCTGGTAATCTTGTAGAAAACTGTGTAGCTGGGAGTCAGTCAAGGAGAAATCACTTTCTTTAAGGCAAGGTGCAGATTCTATTTTCTTCACTACAGGCTGTAAATTAAGGCCTCCAGACTCCAAAAGTTCGTTATTATAGTGCTGAGCTGTTGTTTTTGTAATGTTATTTGTTGTGATAAGGCTCGATAAGCCAGATTTCTGAACTGTTTCAGCCAGCCTTTCATCAGTTGCATTCTTAGTCCATGAAGGGCATAGTTTCTCGGAGATTTGTTGCTGTGGTATTGCTGCCAGCTCTGAACTTTGTATCCCCTGCTGTCCTGCGATTCCAGCTGCTCCCTCCTGTTTTATTATCATGTCAGTTTGAGTATCCAGCTGGAAGCTGTCTTCAGAGTCAGAGTGCAGATCAGAAGATGGACCATTCTGAATGTCATCTGCATTGCAAACTCTTCTGGACTTTACTAGAGAGTCTTTCAGAAAATCCTTAGGATGACTGTTGGCTTTCTGCAGTGCTCCAGCTTGTAACAGTACTCCATTGGGCTTTTCGCTCCCGTTTTTGCCACCATTCTGAATCTGAACATGGCAGGATTTATCCTCACCAGGACAAAAACACACAGGCTTCTGTATCCTGCTGCCACAATGGACATGTCCACTTCCAGAGCAGCTAGCAGTTACATTGCCATGATCTGCATCTAAAGCCACCTGCTGTTTATCAATCGCTGCCTCAGCACAGCTCACATAGGCTTGAATTTTATTAATTTTATTCTGCTTATCATCAGTTTTCTCATTTCTCTGTGTCCTAGCACTACCAGGCATTACTAGACTTCCTACAATATTATGTGCTTCCATATCGTTGTGTGGAGCACTCTGCAAAGTAACAGGTGCCTGAAAATATGCTCTCCCCTTAGGCATTCCTTCATTAGTGCTGGTAGGCTCTGTAAGTAATCCTTCCATTACATCTTTCCTTCCAAGATTAATTTCCCCCATCTGTACAGATTTTGAGACTTTGTGAGTTACAGATCTCATTTCTGTGAATTCCTTACTCTTTCTGTCTGAAGAAATATTTTCTGTAGAGATGGTGGGGCAGAAAGCAGGTGGCTTTTGCTTGTCTGTGCTAAGCATAAGCATGTTCTCAAGCAGAGACCTCTGCAGTTTTGAAGCAGTATGTCTGTTCCTTGTACGGTTTAAATGCACGTCCATGCTCTTTGTCAATCTAAAGGCTGAAGACTTTGTTCTCAGTGTTGGTGTTTTTCCTTGTTCAGTAGGGAGCTCTGGAATTGCTCTCCTGGAATCCAGCTTGGTTTTGACCAGAGAAAGTCCTTCTACATTTTCATTATCTCTGCACGTATTTGGCCGTTTTCTAGCACTGTGCACACTATTGTCATTGCCTTCCTCTGCTCGAGCCCATCTGCTGCCTGGGACTTCACTCTCAAATCTGGAGTTTTCTGTACTACTGCTCAGATGCCTTTTATATCCCTTTTTCATATTTGATAAATTTCCAGCCTGAGAAGCAAAGCCATTACACCGTTGAACTCTGCAGCCTTTTTTGTTCAATATCCTCGAAGACTCAGAACACTGCTCTCCATTTGATCTATGCAGTCTGTCTTCCAGCTCTGACTCACTGCTGATCAGGGACGATGTATCAGTCTCGAGAAAAGACTCTGGTTTCCACTGCACTCCCATCAGTGCCAAATCCTGCTGGAGAAGTCCCCTGGCTTCCTCCACAATGAGGGAAGCTGCTTCTCTTTCAGTTAAGCCTTTCATTCCAGCCATCCAGATGCTGTGCACAGTCCGACGTTCCTCTGCTGATTCTTCATCTTCATCCACAGCCCTACGAACACTACGGGAAAGGGGACAGACAGACATAAACATTCATGCAGAAAACAGCAAATGACACAAGGAGCTGGCACAATTCCACTCTGCTCCCATTTCAGTTAGCTTCACAGCTTCCGAGCTTCGCAAAAGCACTATATCAAAAATATAATGCACTTAATAGGAAATAATTATTTAAGTTTTCTATATGTAAATTGATTTCAATGAAATATATTATTGGCTGCACACCCCCAGAAGCATTCCCAGGTTTCTGTGTCCAAATTTGTAACCCAGATGAGCCCCAACTCCCTACTAGGGCAAGATTCAGGTCTGAATCAATCCTCCTACAGGCACTGTTTTCCAAAGAAAGGAAACTGTCTTTGAAGAAAACACCTTTGAAAGAAAAGAGCATGAATCAGACAGGTGTCATGGCACGGTCCAACAGGTATTTGGTCAAGAAAGTTTGTCATTGCACTAACATGAAAATCGCAAGAGAATTTCAAATGATATACAGTAATAAATCATCCAGTCATTCGATCATATGGTGGAGCTGCCTTTTAGAGTCATCAAACAGCCTCCAGAAAGCATTAACGATTCACCAGGACTAAACAGTACATCAAAAAAAAGGAATAAGAAGAAAATTCAGGTCTCGCAAACTTATGCTGCAAATAAAACATCCTTCTATTAATTTCAAAATAAGCATGAAATGACTGTGATCAGTCAGAGATATAGAAGTTAATTCTAACTAACATTTGGCATCAAGTCCCAAAAGGTTGCCATACATTATTACAAATTTCATCCTGTAATCCTTCACCTTACAAATTAACTCCTTTACTTGACTTTTGAACTTACTCACCTTTTGAATGGTACTGAATTCTTCAGAGCAGTTGCCAAATCATCAGGACTGGCTTTAGCAAGATCAGCCACTGTGACAAAGCCAGCCTTGTAAAGCATCCTAGCACGCTGTGCGTTCAGCAGAGACACTCGTACCAGGTCACAGAGCTCCCTATGAACCCCAAAAGTGAGGCGGCTCTGGAACTGAGAGAGCAACAGCTCCATGTTGTGCCAACCCAGTCGATTACAGAAAACCGTTACCATTCCTGGAACACAGAAGTTACACCAATGTCTTAGCTCCAGCTCCAGTTCTACCAGACTGGATTCATTTCCCCCCATCTCACCTGAATTGGCTTCTGCTTTATGTTTCTCACCCTGCTGACAGAGACTAACTCGTGTTTATTATAACCATGACTACAAGCTGGTCTCACAGAACTCAGTCTAGAATTATCAGTGAGGCAGAACTTCTGAATGACACTCCTTTTTCAAAGACGCTGACCTTGAAAGTGTGAAGCACATGCATATCCTGTAACAGGAGTCCTGTGAACCAAACCCACTGAAGACGACAGAAGCAGCAGTGATGAGAGGTACTAAGGAGTCTCAGTTCTTTGAGGAAAGCCAGCACTGATCTCAGTGATAAGAGCAGAACTTGGCCTGCAGAACTTCAGTTACCAAGGACATCACAGGAGGTAGAAAACCCTATGATAAAGGTTACAGCTGCAGTCCCCAGAGCATGTGAGGAGGAAAAGAGCAGGAAAAAGTTTCTTACTTACAGATTGCATCTACAGAATATGAAAATAACTGAAAGACACAGCAACCCTCACTATTTTTAGTGATTATAGAATAATTATAGAATTATAGATTATAGAACAGATAACTTTTATCATGTCTCTTAACTATATGTCATGTCAACAGTTCATTTCACTTCCCAAATTACTTTTGTGAAAAATATTAACGATGGGAATAGAGAATTATGAAACTGCCACAACAAAAAGTTATTTATACTACCAGAATTAATTTAAACCACTCTGCATCAGTTGGCATGACCTTTTCATTTTGGGGCTTTGACTCATGCTACAACCCACACACAAGGTTTCACAAGTTGAGCTAAAACTGTCTTGAAAATTGAAGATGCACTTATGGAGTAATGGCAACAGAAAAATAAAAATATCTCAGTCACATGGTGGGCTGCTAGCTCCACTCCTACAGAACCCTCTTAAGAAGGTTAAGTTAAAGGTTACAGCTATCTGACCTCTTGTTATCTGGTGATAAATGACCCAGAAACTACTCACTTTGTTTTGAAAACTATAACCTTATACTTTCTGGCCTTTGCAAGCAGGAGAAAGCCATGTTAAATCTTAGAGACTCCAAACTTTACCTATGCTGAAAGGAACTCTTTCCTGATAGAGTAAAGCTTCAGAAAGGATTTCTATTTACTTCCATATTTAGCATTGAACAAACTATATTTCTGCACAGTACACAGATGATTTCCACAGACCTCAGCATGCTGCAGCTCTGCTCAATTCCACTCGGCTGGACCCCTTCCCACAGCACACTCTGTGGTTCTATCTCAAAGCAGGGGCAACCACAGATTAAGCTATAAAGCTGGGACTGGTTTTACAAGACTGATAGTTGTTAGTACCACACTGTGGCTATCTTATCCCCATATATGGAAGGAAAGAAAACAGACTAGCCTGGGGGTATTTTTCCCAGACAACTCACCTGCATAAGTGGCAGCAGATTGCTGCAAGGATTGAAGCTGGCCACGACTGCAGCCATATTTCTTGGTCATATCCTTTAAGGGAACCTCACTGATTAAATCCAGAAGGGCAAGACTGGTGAAAAACCTGCAGAAGTACACATGGAAGTAATATCATCATCCAAGGTAGATTAATGTACGTGGCAAAATGCACTGTGATGGTATAGGACAGAATGTTATTATAGCATAGCACACAAAAGAAACAGAAATGGCTTTCAAGGACATCAGCACAAACATCTTGTGCCAGCAGTGTTCTCAGTCCAGAGCAGACCAGGTCTGGGTTCCCTGAGCTATCAGCTCAGTCAGCAAGACAGCTAGTTCCTGAAAACAGACACAGAGCCTGTCCACTCCACAGTATAGCTTCTAGTTTTTGCACATTCACATCCATCTGTGGCTACCTTTTGTGGATGGCCATTTGCCTATGCTGTTTCTCTGTTTTAGCTATGATTTCGCCCTTTACAGAGCGAGCCAGAAATCCTTCTTCAATCCCCACCAGCTCAGCCACACGTTTCATCGAGGCAGGCAGCTTCTCCCATAAGCAGAAAAACTGGTACCAATCAATTGTGGTCCATTCCTCATACACCGGGGTGATCTACAGAGAGTAATGCAAAAAAATATTTCAGAGAAACAAACAGAACAGAGCTCTAGATAAATAAAAATACAGCCTAGGGAATGTGGTTAGAGCATCCTACACACGCTGAGAGGCATTGAGTCATAACCATGTACCCTGAAGAAAGTAAAAGCTCTTCTAACCTAGTTTTTTTGCTATTTGTACTGATGAGCTCTGACTCATATGGGTATTCTAATGATTAAACAACTTGGAATCTTGGTCAGATTGCTCCCTAAGTCCAAGCCACTAGAAGATCTTTAAGCTGCATCTTTATTCTCCTTTAACAAACAGAACTTTATACTTTTTTTTTAACAAAACTGACAGATACCTATCAACCTCTTAAAGCCATTAGCAACCAGCAACCACACTAACCACTATCACAGCAGGGCAATAGATTTTGCCAGAACTCACTGAAGCTTTCATTTAGGATGGAGCACAAGACATCCCCGCTTTTATTAACACTAACAAAAAAGCCATTCAGAGCATACACACACTTCTAGACAGAAAACCAATTTTGTTATCATTCAGTCAGCCTAGAGTCAATTTCAGTATGAAGAGAAGAAATGTCTTGATATCTGTATTGATATACTACATGATTAATTATTTTGAAATAACTAACAGTTGTTGGGGAGCATTTAACATAGGACCAAATAACAAATGCATGTGTAGTTGCAAATCATCCATGCCCCTTCATCAGCCAAGAACACGAGTTATTAAGGTGGAGGATTATCTTTTGTTGTTTGCTGGGGGTTTGTTGTTGTTTTTTTGTTGTGGTTTTTTTTTTTTTCTCTTTAAAGAAAACTCTTTTCCTAGCCTAGCAAATGCTTATTTGTTTAATTTAAGTTTCCTACAATGCAAGGTCTTGGAATTCAGTCTCATATTTGTACAAGTAAAGCATTCAAGTGTAAGAGAATTAAAAAGCTTTATAGCAGATAATTTCTTTGTAGCCCATAGGGAACACATGAAGAACAATTCTTAAAAAAAAAAGCCACCAAAACTAAACAAGCCTTCAGCCTTGAAAATTAACAGACTTGCAAGAAAGTGTTTTAGGCTAGCTTAATGGAACAGAATCTCAAGAACATTTTGTTCAACAGTGTATATGATTTAAAAGAACATCAGACAAGCTGCTGCAATTAAAAAGTACAGGGTAAAAAAAAAAAAATAAAATATTGCCATCAATGTCTCTACCCTAGGACACAAACAAACTACATCCTTTGTGTTTTGCTGTTCTGGAGATGCAAGAAAGGAAAAAATTCACCAGTGCATGACACAAACCAGTCCACTTTGTCTAATACAAATAGAATAAAATACAATGTGGTCCTCTAAAACAGATACAGGGGTAGACATGAGACACTAGTATATCCAAAAAAAAGCTATCAGTATCAGCCACTAACTAGGTTAATGAATACAGCAAGCAGACACAGGCACCCTCAATCTCTTTCCTCCCCTGTCTCCTAGCTCAACAAATCCTGTAACAACAAGAAAATTCTCCTTGCAGTGACCTCCTTTTTTTAGGCAAGATGCCCAAATCTTGCCTTTCATTTACCAGCCTGGTAAAAAGAATACACTTTATACTTCAGGAAGCTAAAGACAATGGTCAGATTTTGGATGATGACTGCACGATGGGCCTCTGGCTGCTGTGTGCAACTCCATCTTGTTTCCTAACTAATCTTCACAGGTTCAAGGCTTCCTCTCCAAAGGTCTTAAATAGCATTGCTTAGTTTTTCTAAGTGTAAGTGCACATAAATCTTGACAAACTTTGAGATACTTTCCCCTCAAAAGATTCATCACACTCCTTTCTTTAGCCCCGGCAGCATCAGTGTAACGCCGAGGCCTTTTGTAAGCAAAGGAGATGCTTAAACCCCAAAAGTTTTCTGAGTCTCCAAAAATAATCTGAGATGCAGCCTGCTAAAGCCAAACACCTAACAAAAACAACTTGTTTTATCACTTTCAAGTGTCTCAGAAAAATTATCATTATCTTACATGAAACTTACAAAGTTCTGAGGTCAAGAGGGACAGTAATGGTCTTAGATGGACATGCAGCACCTGCCTACACAACAGACACTACAGAAACAGACTAGTTCTGAGGAACATGCAATTTAGAAACTTTTCCTCATGAAGGATGAGGTAAGCAAAGCACAAAAAAAAAAAAAACCCTACACTTATGGAAGCCCTCAAAAACTCTGCATTGTGCTTTGTCACCTTTCCTTAGTTTTGGCTGTATGAAACACAAAACACAGAACGAGGAACCTACCAAATAGACAATATGCAGATCATTCTCCAGAACAAAGCTTTTCATAGCTCTCTGTAGGTCAGCAAAGATTTCCATGGCTTCAGTTGGTGAAAGCGAAGACGAAAGAGTAGCTGAGCCAAGATGTGTTGGATGATAAACTTTTGCTGTTTAAAAAAAACACCACCACCACAC